TTTTGTCATAAGAATGTATGATAATACGAGTAGCATGAGTTAAATTAAATATCGGGTTATTTGTTTGTTCTGTTAAAAATTTATTTACTTCAATATTTCGCTATACATACAATTAAAATAATTTAAATAATACGTTACTTGTACATCACAATGTTAATTACATAATTGAAAATTAATTTAATATTTTAGTTTTTATTTAAATATTAAAATTAATGATTTTTAATTTTATGATTTTTAAAATACTTTAATTAAAAATCAATTTAAAATCTTCAAAAATTTTTAAAATTTAATAAAGCTTTTGCCAAAAAATATTTTGCTTTTAATGTACATTATGCCAAAATAATTTAATTCTGTTATAATATGTATAGGTAATGAATGGAAATATATGTATATATATGTATATATGAACATATTATGTATGTAATGTAAATATAATACAGAGAATTTTTAATTCATTTCATTTACGTTAATACAACATTGTCGTGTTTGTAAACAATGACTTAAAATTTTTTTATACATACATATTTGAAATTAGAATGAGCCGGCATCATAAGGTTCTTTTTCAATTAATGAATAAAAATTTCGTTCATTGTTTATGAACAATAAAGTAAGTTATAAAGAATGAAAGCAAATATACTGGAATCAATATAGTGTATAATTACGATTATTGTGGATGTTATTTAAAACACTTATCGAAATTTCATTTGGTATATGTTGTTATCTATGAAAAATTCAAAACTCGTGTTGAAACTGAAGTAATTTGCTCTTATCACGCAATATAGAATTCGAATTTTATTTTATGTCAATAATTTCGGTACTCCGTATTTTGATACTTTCTCTACTTTTAATATAAAAAGCTAAGAGAAGCTTATTGTCATTTGATTAGTTAAGATAATAAAAGTAAAAAAATTATCGATTTTATTAAGGTGCATTGCGTTGTAATTTCTAAATGATATCAGCAAATTCGAAAAAAAAAAATATGATAAATTTTAAAGCAACGTTCTTAATTTAACGTTCTTAAAAACATGAAGTTTTTATTTATAATTTTATTGAAGTATATTTTTAACACTGGAGCGGATGGTCTTAGGTATAGATAGAACATGTTATTTTTTGAAATTTTCTTAAAACGATATTCGATATGTGATTTCTATTAGCAAAACAGTCGTAAATCTTTAAAAGTTGCTTGTTTTAAAATTTGACTTTTTTAATCTTCTACAAAATGTCAACCTTATTTTAAACGTTAGATCTAAATTAACCACTCATATAAACTCATACCAAAGTAGATATAATTAAATTTAATATTCAATTACATAATAAGTATAAAATGATGTAAGCCTATATACATACATTTTAGATTTCAATTGAAATTTGTATATTTAAATATACTACAAGTACAGTACTACTTAAATTTTTTTCAATTAATCACCTGTTTTTATATAGATATTTGCATTATATATATATAATTATGGCATACCGTTCGTTATTAAAAATGTTTATACTCGTAGGTATGCTCGTAAATGTATGCAAAAATTCTTCTACAAATTTTTATATAAACATAAATATATTATAAGCACATACATAGAAAATATAAGAAGATGTGTACTATACCACATAATATAGGTATGTATATGCTTTTGTATACATACATATAATATTATGGAATGTTAATTTTAAATTTATTTAAGTAAAATGTATTTCTATTAAGTTTGTTTTAAAATTATTTTTACCGCTTTTATATGTGAATTTTTCGCCGAAAATCATATAATTTGGGTATGAAAATTGATTTCCGTTAATTGTTTTAATTTTTTTCATAATTAATTTGTTTCGATGTTAAAAAGATTTAATTGGGAATTTTTTTCTTTATTTTATTATTTTTAAAGTTTGCCTCATTAACTTTTAATTCAGGATAATTTTTTTGCGTTTTTTGATTAATTTTCAAATCAAATTAAAAAAAAGACAAGGAAAATTAGAAATTATAAAAAAAATTAAAAAATTTTGAATTAAATCATCTGAATTGAAGCAAAATACCGGAAACAGATGAAAGTATTTAAAAAATTAGTGAACTTGAATTCGATATAGTCAAATTTATTTATTATGATTTATTATTTATATATATATATATATATATATATTATGATTTATGAAAAATGGTTATTATAAACTAATAACGGAAATTAATATGAAATATTGCACAGTTATGATTTATTATTTTACTATGTGCGACAACATTGTTTGCCTTAGTTAATTTTTTATAAAAATTTGAAGTAAAAAATGAATTCTTGTTTTTTGATTTTTACCTTTATATTACTTTAGTAAGATAAATTATACAAATACTAAATTAATATATAGTAGATATTCAGCAATTAAATTTCATGTTAACCGCAAAAAATGAATATTTCTTTATTCATTTTTGGCACTTTCCCGAAAAAAATTGCTTATTAGTTTAACTCTGTTCGTCCGCCAATTAGTCTGTCCGTGTATCTGTTTACAAACCTTTGAGAAGAAAGCTGAAATTTTTCATACAAACAGATCTTTAGTAAAAAATCTATTTCTCTAGGAGAAAATTTATACCCCTTCTTCTAAAGGTTATAGCCACTTAAAATCCTAAAAATGCTATTTCTGGAATATTTATTTTAAAGAAGCCGTAAATATTTTTTGAATTTCAGAAACACAGTAAAGTAGCAAATTGCTTTTTTCATCGTTTGTACAGCACAATCGATAATTAAAACAAAATAACTGTTAAAATTAACCCTTATTGTTAACACACTATTTTTTTCAAATTTTTGATATAGTTTTGCTTTTTAGACGGAAACTTATGGAAGTCTAATATTGTAACAACTTTTAGACATTAATTAATAATTCATTGTAATAGAAATTTTTTTTTTTTGCAGCACTACTCCCTCCCAATTTGTCGCTTCTCGAAATTTGTAAAATTTGAATTTTTGCGGCATTATATTTCCGAATTTACAAGTTTTTTGGGATGTTTTTAAAAGCTGTTTATCATTTGTTCAAGGAAAAGTGGTTCTTTACAAACCATTGTTTTGACCCAATTTTATTATTCTTTATGAATTCACTCATTATTTACCTATAAGAGTATTGGAACTGATAAGTGCATTATTTATTGATTATTGAATCTAGTAAAAATTTAAATATGTTCATAACATTGTGGAATTGATTTTAAATACCATATTTTACATTTTTAATTTTACTATATATACTCGTATTTTAAAAGCAGCTATTTCTAATAATGTGCATTAATATTTTAGGGGATTGCAATTATTTATACAACACAAAAATATATGTATAGTTAAAATGCAAGTTCTTTGAATCTTTGGAGCTTTTTTCTTATATGTAATTAAAATCATAAATTAATTGTTATACGGATAGACTTATATTCTGTTAAAATAAGAATATATTTTTTAACACAACAAAAAAAAGTAAAACACAAAAATTTAAAATTAATCTTTGTAAAAATAAATTAATTTTTGTCAACAATACTTGTATTTCAAAAATAAAGTAGGTATACATTTACTTAAACGATTTTGTTAAATAAAATGTTGATTAATTAACAAATATTTACAGTCCCAAATTAACAATCTTCAAAATAATAAATAAAAAATTTGCTTAAATATTAAACAGCAATTTGTCACTTATTTTAAGACATGTATGTAAGTATAGCTATGTATAAATTTTGTTTTCAGTTTCATTTTTAAATTTACAGAGTATAACGAACTGTAATTAATTTGCTTATTTTTATTATATATGAATTAAATGATAACAAAATATGCCGAAATATAAAATTTAAAATGTAAACCTTATATTTATAATAACCTTAATTTTTTTTTTTAAGAGTTCGTTAAAATCTCAATAACTCGCAATTAATATTCATGTAAATAAACCATTTTGATTTTAACACGTAGAAAAAAATAATTGTTAAACATTATTATCTGCATGTATATACATACATATGTATGTATGTATATGTGAAGACATCCGATGAATATAAAATTATTGACATGTAATTCGAAAATTTGTCATCAATTTTAAATTACAAAAATTTTAAGTATTAATAAATTTATTAAAGGTATTAAGCGTCGCGATATTTAAAAATAAATTTAATAAAGGATATACTTTGACATTGATATAAAAGAAAAGTATCCATACAGATTTTTTTATAAGAATTGCCTTAATGTAATGGTGCGAAGTACTCGTAGTCTAGTGTTGGAGTATCGAAGCATTTTCGCAAATTTGGTACTAATGTCGTTGTTGTTTTATGTATTGAAAATATGCATCGATATTTTTTGCTAGTCTAAAATATACGCGACCTTTCACCCTGGTGCATTTATTGAAATATTAGCTCGTAAATATATTTTTAATTATTTTGGCAATTCATTTGACCTTTTTATTGAGAAATAATCGTAAACATTTCTGGTAAGAAACTTCTAAACTTAAAATTTTAATTTAATAAAAATTATTTAAAGCATTGAACATTGCAATCAACTGTAATTTTTTACTTTGTAATTTAAATTTTGCACTACGTAGGTCGTTGACGTTAAGCTGAAAACAGAACAAGAGCGATTTTCCGCGTCGAATTGTTTAAATTTATATAGAGTGTAAATGTATATATTTAAATGGGACTGCCCAGAGTGAAGCAAAATTTCCGTCGGGGATTTTACTGTCGGTAAGAAAATAGTCCAAAATCCTATTTTACTGTTGATGATTTTTTACAACGTCATCTGTTTTCATGTGTGTGACATTATATGATATAAAATTCTGAGCAGTTGAATTTGTCCCTGCTATTCTGGGTTAATAATGGAAATCGTTCGCCGTTTTCGCTCATCGCATTGGTTTTGTTTTTACATTTAGAGAGTATTTCTAGACCGCACACTCATATACCAGAAAATTAATAATATTATATAAATTTATAATTTAAGATAATAACATTTTCAAATTAAATTTTGAAATTGTGTAATATTAAAAATCTTTGTTTTTCATTACAGATTTTTATATATTATAGGCGGAATTTTTTATTAAAAAAAAAATCTAAATTATTTTAATATCAAAACGGAATTCAATCTTTAGATCTATAAATAAATCGTATATAAATGACGATTCAAACAGTATTGGACAGTCACAAGATGAAGCCAAAGGAATGGAAAAATAAAACATTAAAAGAGAAATGTATTCACGTATGGCAAAATATTACTGTTGAACCAATGTTAGGTGTGTTACGTTAAAAGCTCACAATTTTCAATAAAATATCATATTTATAATAACAATTTATTTTTAAATTTTTTGCAGCATGTTACATTATGCCCAGTTGTTTGGCAAGTACGTACTTATTTCTACACATATATTGAAAATATGAGATTAAAGACAAATAATATAATTCAAAAATTATTTTTTTTTTATAAAATTATATATGCATATGTATGTAGGTCTTGCAACACAAAATTTAAATTTGGAAAAGGCCTGTAGAATAAATATGGCATATGGTGATGAAATCTGTGATGCTTTAACACGAAGGGAAACCCAAAATTATACAACGTAAGTGTTTAATATTAATTACAATTAATTATAGAAACTTTTCAAAATATTTATTATTGAAATTTAACGTTAAATCACTAATTTTTATAAATTTAAAGATAATAAAATCTTATAATTCATTTGAAAAAAAGGACAAATTATTAGTGTAAATTAAATTAACTTTTGAAATGAACAACAATAAAAACTTCGTGCCTTAATCTTTATAATTTTTACTTAATCGATTGAATATTTCCTTTATATGCTGTCTACTATGTACATACATAATATATATTATTTATATATACATATATATTATTTAAATATTAAAATATTTTGTTCTTAATTAACATACATGTAGTTAATTTTTTTAAAATTCTTGTTAAATTTGATTGAGTGTTAGCTAGATTATATTAGATTTATTAGAAAAAAAATTCCATTTTTGTATAATCTGAAATCAGAAATTTTAGATATTAATTTAAAAATTGTCGATAATTAGCAAAAGATGGAAAAGTTTAAAAACCCTATGTTTAGGAAATCAATTTTTTACGTATACTCATGAACGCAATAATGTCCATATATGTAGATATAATGATACTGCCAACCTATATACTTACTCTAATATTTTAAATTGATAAAACATATTTTTTAAAATTTCAATATTCATTTACATTTATTATGTAAAAATGTAATTTGTATAGACAAAATTAAATAAACTTTATTGGTTTTTTATACCGGCAAAATACCGAAAAAAAAAATCAATGAATAATGCTAACAAATAAAATGTTATGTAAATTGCAGCAAGCTATAAAAAATTATAAAAATTATAATTAAAAATGAAATTTCATCTATTCAACGTCAAAGTATTTTAATTGTTTCAAATTGCAGTAATTATTATTATTATTATTATCGTATTACAACAATAAGATAAAATTTTTCTCACAAAAATAATTTTTTTGATAAAAGTTTATTATATCTATTGGACAGTCAGTATTTCAAATTAAAAATCACGTAATCTTACTTTGTTGGAAACTATAAAAATATGAAATAATAATATTTTATAATTTGTAGTACGAGTATAACATATTAGTTGAAGAATGCACAAACTGTGTTTACTTAAACATATGATTTGTTTGACATACACACAGTAAATACATTTTATGCAACCAACTTAATATTTTGTAGGAAAAAATTTCCATAATTATAATATTTGCCGGATTTGAAAATTATATATATATATCTACGATATTGCCATTGATTCAACTTTACCGAACCGGAATTCTGTAATAAAAATAGGTACCTAATTATAATTTAATTGGTTATTTTACTATTTTGGATGAAATTTTCCGTTCAATAAACATGTAATTTTATCTTATTGTAAAGAAATGTAAATATTTTAAAAACACCAAAAAAGAAATGAAATTTAAAATTGGTGAAAGCCTTAAACTTCGACCAGAATTTTGTTCTTTACTTGCTCATAATAATTATGTTTTCAACAAATTTTCAGCTCTTCCATCTAAAATTAAATAATAATACCTTTTTTATACATATAAACAGAAATGCATACATATGTATGCACATATTTTAATTTTTTCGCTGCTCAAATTTTAGAAATTAAATGAAAAATTGCTTTTGCTAATTAATTATTGCATATATTATAGTATCGGAGATTTTCACCGCCGTGGAGAACAATACAAAATCTAGCGTGATAAGAAAAAGTTCTCATTGATTGAATGTTGCTATTTAATCATAATTAAATATGAACATAATCGTCATATTATTTAAAGCCTATAAAAAAGGTTACAAAGTTATCTATTAAGTAATTAAAAGTTACGTACCCTAGAATAAAAAAACAAACAATAATAATCAAATAATTAATAACAATGATCGGTTAAAATTTTGTAAATCTTTTTATAATATTTTGAGTTTTATTTATAATCAAAGTCAAGTTTATTTTCATAAATATGCATGCATGTTTGTAATTAGGTGTTCATACACACGCATACATTTGTTTATAGAGAAAAGATGCATGTTTGTTTATTTCGGAATTGATTTTAATTTTCGACGTCACATTTTAAGAGTAATAGATTTAATTTAATTCGCTATTTTGTTTGTAGTAATTTTTTACAATAAATAAATTATTTGCTGATATCAGTTTGGAAAATTCTTTTTTCACCACTGACTTAACTATAGTTAAATGAATTATTAAAATGACAATAAGAACAGAAACATAAATACAAGTATGCGTAAAGAATTTTCAATCTCATATCAAGCAGAGCTGATTTTACAAATTATTTGGATGAACTTTCTATTTTATTTAATTCATCTATACTGGTATTTTGTTAAAATTAAAATAACGTAGTTAGGTATTACCTATATTCGATGATAGGGCAGCATTCGACAATTTACAAGTTTTACGAAATGTAGGTTTATAAAGAATGTTTGATTATAGATATTTAAGTCTTCAATTTGCATCGTCAATTTAAATTTTGTTTAGAGATTTTAAATAAATACATTTTTTTAATGAAATGTAGAAACTAAAAGTAGTTTTGCATAAAAAATATTTATCCTAATTAAAAGAGTGTCTATTACAGAGTGTCTATTATAAATTTGAAAGTTTATATACTTACTTATACAAAAGTTTATATTGCATAAGTTAACAATAAAATACGATATGTAATTTTATACATTTTCACTCCAGTGAATTTATACTGTATTTTTTTTATTATATCACATTAAAAGTGTATACGAGTACACTAAAAGTAAATATTATTACTGAATAACATTGCATCAAAATATTTGTAAATTTTAATTGTTTTTTTCTAATTAAACTTGTAGTTATAACAAGAATGTAGAAGTTAAGTAAGGAGATCGGACTATAAAAAGCCAATTTATTTAAGGAATTTTAAAAGTAATTCGATTTGAATTTTTTTCTGATTACAAAAGGAGCCGTTGAGTTACATGTTTCGAGCTAATATACCTCAATTGAAATAAGAAAATTGAATTGAATTTAATTTTAAGATCAATACATATGTGTACATGTATACGTACATATAAATTTTCTGATTGATCTGAAATAATAACATATTTAAATATTAATTATAAATAAGTAAATAAATAAATAACTATTTATACACATTATTAACTTATATAAATATTAATTGATGCAATCTAATCTTTATTTTTTTTATTATTTCGAAAATTCAGTGAAGAAGCAACCGTTCAACAGTTAGTAGCTCGAATGGCTGGTTGGAAGACGGTTTTACAAAGTCTTTTACCATGTCTTTTAATTCTATTTTGGGGTTCTTGGAGCGACAGGTATACAGAAATTCATATTCTATAAATTTGAATAATAAAGAAAAATTTAAAACATCAAAACTTTTTCAATTCAGGCATGGCCGTCGAAAACCTTGTATGTTAATACCAATTCTAGGAGAATTTTTAGCAGCTATTGGTTTAATTTTTTGTACATATTTTGAAAGTCTACCCATGGAAGCATCCGGTTTCACAGAAGCTTTATTTCCAGGATTGACTGGTGGATGGTTTACCCAATTGATGGGTGTTTTTAGTTATATTGCTGATGTAACAACAGAAGAGGATCGTACATTAAGAATTGGAATCCTAAATTTATGTTTTTCTTTGGGTGTACCATTTGGAATGGCATTTAGTGGGATTCTTCTCAAGTAAAAAATAAATTAAAATAATTATTTGCATAGCTTAATATAAATGTTAAAATTTTTTTTAATGTATATAGGGAAATTGGTTTTTACGGAATATTTTCAATTTCTGCAGCTCTATACCTTATAGCATTTCTTTATGGTTTATTTTATGTTGAAGAACCAATAAAAAAGAGTAAAGAAGAATTAGCAAAAGTAACGAAAAGTAATTTTATAGCTGACTTTTTTGATAAAAAGCATGTTGTTGATACTTTTAAAGTGGCTTTTAAAAAAGGTGCAAATAAAAGAAGAATTCGTGTTATTATGCTGATGATCGTTGTTATGGTTGTTATTGGGCCACTTCATGGTAAGTTATGCCATATATTTTAGTGTTTATTTACATTTTCCATATTAATTATTAGGCGCGTATGATAATAAAAATATTAGGAAAGTTATTTTTCTACTTTTCTCTCATTAAAATACATTTTAATTATTACTTACGATGGTTTTAAGGGTCAGCAATTTTTTAATCAATATGACTTTGTAATTATAAATTAAACTACTACTACTAAGTTTAATTAATTGTAATAAATCAGAAATAAAATACAAAACTTTCACATTGATGATTTATAATTTTTCTTTGAAAATTCTCATTAAATTTATTTGCTTCCTCTTCTATTTTTTTTATTCTGTTATTTTGAAAACTTTACAAGCTTTTTTACATTCAAAACAAGCTTAAAATATTTTAATTGATAACACAAATAAATTGAAAAATCTTTTTTAAATTTTATTTTTGTTTTGTCGTTTAATTTTTGTTAATTATTATTGTATAAAATTAATGTTGGGACTATATGAAATGAAAAAATAAAATGCAGAGGTGTGAAATTATTATGACGATTACACAATAAGCAAAACATTGACAATGAAAAGTAAAAAAAAAACAAAATTATTTTAAAATTAAACGAAATTATATGTGACAACATTTAAAATGTAGTTTTAGCACATCTTCCTATAGTGGTATTCAATGACGCTTGGATTAATCAAGCAGATAAAAAAATTAAAAAAGTTAATTTAACAAGTTTAAGTATATTGTATACTAAACATGTTGAAATTGTCATACTGACGTTTATTTGGAATTTATTCCAGTATTTTTTAATTGAATTAATTTTATTTTCGATAACTGCTTACTAAATCGATTTAATTTTTTTTTCTTGAAGTTCGTACTAAAATATGAATAAATAATTTAATTGTTTAAAGGCAGATAAATTAAAATCATACAAGGAAACTTTCGTATAATACTGTTCTTATTACAGCAATATTAACTAGTTTGATATAATAGTACAACTTTAACTTCAAAATGGAAAATTTATTTTGAAAATTAACTTTTAATAGTATTAATAGTTTTCATTAAGTTATTGTTTTTTTAGAACAATTACAAGTAATTCATAATTCAATATAATATAAAATTGTATAACAAATTCATATATAAAGGCAATATTAATGTAAAAATTTAATTAGAAAAAATAATTGACATTTGTAAAATATTAACTGTCATTCAAAATTATCATACAATAAGAAAATAAGAGGAGAGCATTGACACAATTGACACAAATTATTTAGATGTTTGATTTTTAAAACAACTTAATTAACAATTTAATATCATTCGAAGCAATAGGGAATTAAAGAAAATCAAAGCAACAGGGAGTTCTAAAAGTTTATAATAAAACCGTGAAATTTTTATACATCAATATTACCCAGTCTTGTAATTTTTTTTTGTCAAATCATTTTATTATTTTAATAGATTTTATTTGATTTTAAACTAATAAAATAATAAATTTTTTAATTAGTATTCAAAAGAAAGAATTTTAACTTTATCATATTTAGAATAAAGTTTACGGAAGTTTTATGACATGTCACGTAGATTTACCGTAATTATACTCAGATGTAATTTAAAAAAAATAATTATACTTAATTTTTCTGTACATTATTTATGTAGTATAATTTAAAAAAAAATAATTATATTGTATTTTCTGTAAATTGTCAAATTTTTTATACGAGGTCATTAAAATATTTTGACTTTGGATACCTAAATAAAGCTTAACAATCATATCGAAGCTGAAAGCTATGTAATAATCTGTTAAAATACACATGCATAATTTGCATACATATATACAAAATATGTCTTTATATTATTTTATTCAGACTTTTATTAAATTTCAAAAATTTTATTTTTAAAATTTTTGGAAAAAAACGTAAACAATAATCTATGCCTAAACGTTTTTATTAATGCAATAAGTGCTCGCATTTCTAACGTAGAATTTAAATAACTTACACAACAGAAAGACGCACTTGCAAAAACTACAAATTTGACGCTATCATAAAAAAATTTTTGTTTTAATTGTGGAAGCTCTAAGATTGTCATAATGTATGTTTTTCAAAACAAATGAAATTTTAAAAGAAATCGTATTATTTGCAGTTAACTGACATGAAAATTTATATTTTCTTTTAACGTAATAACAAAAGTTAAAAGAATAAAATTCTAATAAATAGACTACATCTGACATTTTTAATAATAAAATAACAAAAAATAAAATTTTTAAGTACAAAATAGTTTCCGCAGCACTAAAATTAAAACTGAATTGTTGCGAGTACATCTCAAAAATCTGAACTTGCAGTTTGTAGTTATAAAACAAACTACAAAAATAGTATCGCACTACCAAGTACTTTTGTTTTGGCAGCGGGTGCAGTACTTTATTGCTGATCGAACATACTACACATTTATAGTACTAAGTTAGAACTGAATTATCAAAAACACTACGCTTCTACTCAAGCTTAAGGAAAGATTATCAGGTTATATAACTAACCAATTATTTTTAATTAATTTTCAGGTGAAATGGCTGTAATTTACTTATTCACAAGATACCAATTCAATTGGAGTGAGGTTGAATTCAGTTTCTTTTCTACATACGCTATGATTACTTCTTTATTTGGTAATTTTTAAAATTTTTAAATTTTTTGACTTATTCTCATTAGGTATTTAAAATTTGTAATTAAATTAATAAAAACAGTAATTATTTTTAAAATTTATACGAATTTTTTATAGAAAAATATTTTAGGAATAAAATTTTTGATATTTTTAATAGAAATAATTTTGAACTGAGAACAAAAGATTTTTTTTTTTAAATGAAATATAATTTTAAAAATATAAAAATTTGAAAAATATACTCGTAATACACTTATGCCTAATAAAAATTAAACCAGAAAAGGTGGATATAGCCTTCTTTCATAATATAAAAGCAGTGTTTTACTATGTTTACATTTGATAACATTATATCAACATAATTTATATATTTTTAGGAACACTCTTTTCTGTTGGTGTTCTTTCACATATGTTGAAAATTGATGATGCTCTAATTGGTGTTCTATCAAGTATGTCAAAAATATTATCAAGTTTTGTATATGCATTTGCAGTAACAACTTGGCAATTATATTTAGCACCAATAGTAGAAATTTTAAATGGAACATCATTTATTGCAATGAGATCAATTGCCACAAAATTGGTGGAAAAAGGTATGTATAAAAATAAATTCTATAAAACATGTATGTACATAGAGTCTTATTAAAAAAATTGAAATTTTTTTTTTTCATAATTTGATAATTGATTTATTAACATATATTGTAGATGAACTTGGTAAAGTTAATTCATTGTTTGGAGTTGCTGAAGCATTAATGCCATTAGTTTATGCTCCAATGTATACGACACTTTATGCAGGTGAATTAATAAAAAACGTTTATTAATTTTATAAATTTTAATACGCTCAAATTAAATAATTTTCTCAAAAAATGAATAAAAAACATTTAAATGTAAAGAGTGATACCGTATAATCGTTTAGAACTTTGAAAAATATTGTTATACAATAAAATATGTTTAATTAATTTTGCAAAAATTCAAAACATTACTGACTTAAAATTCAACCATATGTTATGAAAATAGTAGTAGACAACAAAAGAGCTTCTTAAATAATATTTTTTCTTGTTATACAATTAAAATTATCTTAAGGATGTTTTGTACAAGATTTGCTTTAGTTTTTAAATTGAAAGCTTAAACATTTAGAAAACAAAATAATATTGAAACTTTTTTAATTAAAAATTTTAAAATTTAAACTTTACTTCTCTTTTCCCTTTAGCTACATTGAATATACTACCAGGAGCATTTTATTTGCTTGGAGGTAAACTATCACAAATCATATTTTTGTTCTGAAGCAAATATAATAAATTTTTTTCTTATTTTCATTATTTTAGGAGCATTGACTGCACCTGCTGTGGCTATATTTCTGTAAGTTTTAATTAAAAATGAAAAAATATTAGCATCCATACAATAATTGAAAAATTTTATAAATAGAAACAGAAACCAAATAACTATAATTAAGCAATTTCTTCTTTATGACACTGATAAAATTTAGTCAGAAAAGTTATGACGGTTTCATCCAAATATGATAATTAAAAAATAATTATATATATATATATATATTATACGATTATATAGTTAATGAGATAAAATAACATGTTTAAAAAATTATTAAAATTTTTTAAATGTTTATGAGAGATTTTTTGTTTTTTGAAATTGGAACTTTTCATTGCGTGCCGGAAACTTAGAATGCATGTCTATTTTAATTAATTTGTATAATATCAGTGTAACATTCCTAGAATTGTATGGATGTTCAAAATTGAAAATTTAATGTAATGAATGTTCAATGCAAAATAAAAATTTAAAAAAATTTTAGGTGGATGTATGGAATTCATAAAAAAGATAGAAAACGTAAAGCTCTTGAAGAACAACAAAAAAAATTAACAAAGGACAATAAAGAAATATTAGCAAATTGTAATGGCAGAATAATTGAATCACTCGAGTATGTGATAAAAGATGGAGTGATTAATGAAGCATTTAATTCTGATGGCATTGTAGGCATTAGTTATATTGAAGTGACAAAGGAATATAATAATACCGAAAATAACTGTGATAAAATATCAAAAATTTAGATTTTTAATAAAATGAATTATTTATTGATTATGAATGCTTTTTGCATTTAAATATTAGAAAAAAGAAATATTTTTTCATAAATAAAAATGTAAGATTCAATAGATTTAAGTATATAAGTATGTATATATAAGTATGTATTTTTTATTACAACATTCTTTGTATATATACATTGATATACTTATGTAAAAATTTTATATTATAATTATACTATAGTTTACAAGTATGTATGTATAGATAGGCTTTATTATTTAGAATAATATAAAAGCAAGAATTTTTAATAAGATTAATACTTTATTTAAGAGATTCGAATTTGTTTTTCAATTTTAATTATACATGTGTTTTTGTATTATAAAATATGATTTCTATAAATAAATAAAATAAGTCTTAAAATTTTAAATTTTTTCTTAATTTTTTATTCATAAAGGAAATTAATAAAAAAATTAATTTATTTAAAATAATAAAAATATTAAGAATTGATTTATAAATTTTTGTGTACAATACATTAATTTTTTACTGATTACATATTTTGTTTTTCTATTATGAATAGAAAATATTTACCTATTGATTAATAATATTTATATATTTAGTGATAGCGATTAAAGAGTACCGAGCACCCTAATAATATTTTACTCGAATAATTTGTACATAATACGTAATTGTATTGTGTACTGTACAGTATTCAAAATGATTAGCAATATTTTCCTACCATTAAAAATATAAAATTAAACAAAAGTTAAATTCGTCTAATTGGAATGCAATACCTAATTTGTCAACCAGAAAAGAGCAATTATCTTATCATGTAGTACTTAAAGAGGTATATAGCACGGTATAGAATGCGTGTACTATTAACCTTTACTTATGATAATTTTTTATTAATTTTAGTAAACAATATTTAGGATAGTGAAAAAAGTAAATAATTGAAATTGTATATACATTTTGTTAATTTATGTAGATTTCTTGTCCATTCAGACAAATTTAAAATCTAACCTTTAAGAATCTAACCTTATTAAAATTTCATTATTTTCAAACATTTTTATAAAATTTCAAAACATATTAAATTAGACTTTAAACATAGAATTTCAATGGGCTATTACGATTAGCATTTACACGTTTACATAAACGTAGTAGCTTTCTGTTCTCTATTTATTATTTCTAAATTGAATAAAATCATTTTGAAGATTTTTTGTTTTTAGCGGCTTATAATTTACCAGATTATTAAATTATTAGGTTGAAATTTGCACGTGGGTTCAAACCATGTTATTAGATATGTTTTCAAATTTATATTTAAAGTAATTTTGTATTATACGAGCATGTTTTACATGGTCTACTTATTTATTACATTACAATAGAATTTCAATGTTAAATTTTTACAACTACACGCAAACGTGCAGATTTCCTCTATAAAAGAAAAGTTTTTTTCTTTATTATCGTAAGAAAAGCTTTCATTTTATATCGTAATTTTTTAACGGTATTCTCGTTAACGGTGTAACAACTTGTTGTTATTACTATTGTTCGCGCTAAAAATTGGGTTCAACAGAACAGCTTTTTGTAACTCGTATATTTAATACTTGTATATGTACATAAAATATATTTTACGCATTTACAAATGGTCATTATGAAGTAGATACGCACAATATCGTAATATACAGTGAAATCTATCTATCTATACATATAGCTACACATGCTTATAAATGTGTATATACTTATATATTTATACATAAAGTTTAAGTGGAATGAAAAGTTTCTGAATTTTTATGCTGTATTTTTATGCCAATACCAAAAATATTAAATTAATGTTCTAGCTCTTTATTTTATGCCACTCACCGGATTATTTTGTATACAATATTATTTGTAAATGTGTAAATAAATAAAAAACATGTGTTTCCAACGTTTATGTTTGGTCCTTAATTTTATTTATGAAAAACAAAAATTTATATACAAGTATAATTGTGTATGTATACTGATATATGACCATTTGTATATTTTTCTGAGACAATCCTTTTTGATATATATAAAAGGAGAAAAAATGTTTATCAAAAGCCAGTTCAATTCAGAAAATCGGTTAGTTCGGTTCAGCAAAAGAAAATCCTGAAATTAATTATATATCAAGTAAAAATTTTATTAAAAAAATTTATCAAAAAGAATAGGAGGCAAACCTTTTTCAAATTATTTGTTAATTTATAAAATATATTTTGTGAAATATTTTTTTCGAAAACGTTTGGCAATTATACTTTGTAGCATTAATCAAAAAAAGGTTTTAATTAAATTTTGTGTGTCCTGCATAAGTAATAAAAGACTAAAGAAAAACAGGGAGAAAATATTTTATTCCTGAATGGTATATAGAATGATATTAAATTTTTATAATAAGAATAAATTCATCTTAAGACAATAGATACATAAACATTTGTAATATTTATTTATTGTACATGAATGTAGAAATAAAATTTTTTTTTGTTTAAAATGTTAAAGCAAGCATTTTGAAGCAACACAAAGATAAGGAAAAAAAGGTCTGATATGAAGACTTTATAAGAAATTTAATAAAATAGGGTCCATTCATATAAAAAATTGATTTAAATTGGTGATTGCTTTTATATATTTTGTTTATGAAAAGAGTTCTAGCTATGAATAGAAATTAAAAAGTATAATTTTCATAGCTATTTGATTTTGAGAGTAAAAGTGGATGTAAAAGTTATAAAAAAAATTAAATTGCATATGGTTAGGCTAGAATTTGATTGCATATTTTTACGATCTTATATTTTTTTCTATCTTTCTAAAAATATTTCAAATCAAAATTGTAGAATTTCATAAAAATTTTTTCTTAATAAAATATTTATAATCATATTAGCTAGCTATTATAGCTTTTTTTTAATATGAATAAAATTTGATATATGTAATTAATTTAATTGAATTCTGCTTGTTTATATTAAATTTAATTGGAATTGTATAAAAATTCAATTTTCTTAGTTTGGATTAAATTCATGAATAGCTATTGTAGATATTAAGAAGAAAGTTTAAAGTATGAAATTGTCTTAAAGTTCAAAACTTTCAATATAAGGATAGTGTTGATTTGCAATGATTGAAGGATTCATCTTTCTCGTTCATTTCTAAAAGCTACTCATAAAATTTATATTTATAGCACTTTTGATTTCTCTTTTCGATCATTTGCTATTCAGTGATTTATTCTTATTTCTTAACAGCACAAGTGAAAAATTTGCATAATTTACAACATAACATTTTTCATTATCTTTGAAATTTTAAAAAGTAATTGTTTAAATTTGGTTTTCCTTTAATTTTTTCTCTGGATTCATAAAAAATCACATTCGATATGCGTTCATTTAAATATTGCGAATGGTATAATAAAAATAAAATGTTTTGATTTAAAATAAAAAAAATAATTGCTTTTTTTTAAAGTAATGTAAGTAATGTGTCTTTTGCTTAAGTTCTTTTATCAACTGTGCGAAGTAGATTTAAAAAACTGAACGATAGAAGAAATTTAAACATTCTCTTGGATATGCAAGAGACTATTGAGATGTGCTGGATTTTTTTTTGTATCCTCGAAAATTCATAAAATATTTGTGTGGGAAAGCTAAATTTTATTTATATTTATTTTGGGTATACTTTATTTATATCTTTAGGGATTACATTTTATCCTTATATTTTGAGCACTTGAGAGTGATAAAAATTTTGTGTAAGACAACCAAAGGAAATACAAAAGAAAAAAAAAACAAAACTAAGTTAAAAAGAAGCAAATAAGAAGTGATAAAATAAATATAAATTTATATTTTTATGATTTATGTTTTAAAGATATTCTTTTACAAGATGAATTTATATTTACAAGGACAAAAGTTCGTACATGAAAAAAAATAAAAGAAAGAAAATTGAAAAGAATAAATAAAAGAAAGTAAGATTCTATTATTTGCAATTAATTGGGCTCTTCTTTAAGTTTGGCTCCAAATTTACTCAACACATTAAACAAATAAAAATAGATGAAGAATTTTCTAAATCGTTAAGTTAATTTTTTCGGCTTTTGGCCGAAAGTTTTTTGGTCGAAAATCAAAAAATGCATTTATTTGTTTCTGTTTACAAAATGCCTTCATCCAGTATAATAGAAAGTTGAAATACATTAATCGATCTTTGTAAGAAAATTATATCGTTAATATAGAAGAAAATTTCTTGATATTTTTCCAACTCTAAAAGTAAGGGTCTGTGTCGAAACTAGTATTATTTTTTGAAATCCGCAAACGTAGAACGTGGGTCTGTATTTTCAAAGGCAAAGTAATCATATCAATACAATATCACGAATGGGATACAATATCACGAACTCATAATTTTTTAAAATTTTTAACATAATTTTTCTTTTACGTGGTAAATTTTACAAGTCTGAAGCAGAAATTTATTGATATTGAAGTTAAAAAATTATTTTCTTATCAGAAAGTGAAAATATGAGTTAGTAATTGACCCCATAATTACTATTTTAATATGAGGGAATTGAAAATCTGACTACCCCTAACATTATGCAAAAGGATGACATTTTGTATAATATTAGCAGAGCAAATAAAACATAATTTTTAAGCGAAATTTACTACAAATCTTTTGATACGAGTTTATTTGAATTATTTTGGTTTCAATTTTACTTATTCTTCAAAATTATTTCGCGCACTAAATCGCGAGTTCCTTTTTGGTTCCCATCACTCTTATACACATTATCATATAAATATCCTATTTGCGTATATTTGTATATATATACTATTAGGTATAAGTAAGTATATAATGTATAAAGTTTTTTATTATATCAAGTTAAAAGATCCCAAAATATTAGGTATAATGAGAGATTTTTATCTATATAATTTCAATATTTGCTTATATATGTATACATAATATTATGTACAAGATTTTAATATAATCTAAGAACCGCCTATATCTATATTATAAAAACATGGTTCGATATAGTTAAGAAAAAAAAAATATTAATGTGTTATACACACATACATATCTATGTATATGTATAATAATATAATTTATATTCAAGGAGCAAAACAAAAACCAAAAATAAGTAACTTGAATATTTTATGCGAACCCCGGGGTGAACTTTTTGTATTAAGATATTTTACTTTTATATACTTACGTATACATGAACATATACATATATACATTTTATGTTTAAGAATTTAAAACGCGGTAAAACGAAAGTATTAATGAACACCTATTAGAATTTAAATGATGCTAAAAATTAAAATATTTTTAAGTTCTATAATACTATAATGCTTTTTCCCATAAGAATATGGTTATTTGCTGGGAAAATTACAAAAAGGTGTTAGAAAAACGCAGGTGTATATCCTTTTAATAGAATCATAATTTTTATGAATTTAATCTGGTTAAATATGAATAGAAGTCTGAATGTGATTTTTGACATTTTTTATTAAAAAATCGGGAATGGGTATCTGCAGTAATTTTTATCAAGATATTTTATAATCTATCTTTTGGAAAAGCGAATATTGAAATGTGTGGACTTGATTAACAACTTTTATTCTACTCTTAATAGTGAGACTTAACAATTAAAATTCAGTTTAATTATTGATACTTTTTAGAAATTCACGAAAACATTATTGGAGTTTAAAAGTTTTTAACCAAATGCTAACCTGGTCAACCAAGCGATTAAGCCGAAAATGTCATTCATTTAAAGTCGATTGTCGATTGCTTTTGAGAATTGAAAAATTACATTGAATTATGAAGAATTTAGTAATAATACCTAAATAATAGCTTTTATCCGAAACAGTCAGTAAAATTATTCCAATAAATATCAGTCACATATAATTTATTTTAATTTTGCAAAGCGTTTTACAATATTCCTTCCCTTAGTGTTAAATATTAGATTCATACCAGAAATTGAAAAGAAACTTTTCAAATTCATACATATTTACACTTATATATTTATGTTTTTTAATATTATTCACGTTTTATATTGCTTTGTGTTACAAAGGCATTATAATGTAATTTCAAATTTATATTAATATGAACATTGCCTAAAATGCTTCACGTTTTATGGCAAAAAATCCATTTAATTTATCCATACAAACATTTCATGTGTATATATATAAATTGTATATGACAGAGCATATAAATTATAACTTTTATTGACAATAATTTTCTTCTTATATATTAATGTATTCACATATAATACTTTAATAATCAGCGCAATAATAAGTTTATTTGCGAACTTTAATAAAAATATTGTATCACATACGGTTAGGATTGTATACGACGCGTTCATTTCGGTAAGTTTAAGCGTTAGTTTTATATGATTTAATATTTAATTTCTTGTGCAATATACTATATGTAGAAGAATAAAAATTATAAGGATAATTACAAATGTACGTAAAGTATACAATGTGTGTGAATTTATAGTAACTATATTAAACATCATATTAAAAAAATATGTGATTAATTTGAGTGAAACGACATAGAGAATTTATAAATTAAGGAATTTTAAGTAATTTTAAAAGTATAGAGCTTTGATTACTTTACAAATTTTTTATGCTGTTAAAATTCTGTGTATTGCAAATTAATGAGTGTTAAAATAAAAAAGTTAATAAGTGTTGTCAATTTTACCAGAAATTTGATTATTGTTTTTTAAAAGAATTGATGTATTAATTTGGATTTTGATGTGTTCCTAATGAAAGCGGTAACTTCTACTTCAATTCGTTGATTCAACTAAAAATCATATATATTTAGAATTACACTCAATATTTACATCAGTATTATAATTATTGGAAGGCCTCTAATATAAATGTCTATATTAAATATGTATATGATACCTTAAAGCATTCAAATTAAATACGAGTAACTTTTTTAAAAATAGATGCTCAAAAATTTAAATTGTAAAAAAAGTGATAATATCCGTCTAAACAATTAAAATTTCTTTTCAATATTTTATCCAATATATTGCCCACTTTAAATTTTTGTTTTTTTTCAACTGTTTTGTATTAATTGTTAAAAAGTTTTCAAACCATGCACGTACAGTAGTTGCCACATATTTCTGGATTGTACTCGTAATTAAAGTTGTAGTATTTATAACTACATTTAATTGGGTAGTAGAAGAAATGTATTATATAACCGTAGTATATGTACAAAAATTATACGAGTATAAGCCAAATATTACATAAGAAATAACATTAAGGCAAAGAACGTATATTTATAAAGAATCGCAAAAGTCTAAAAAGAACATTTTTTTTCATCTCTACTTTGTGACAACGATTAGCTATTCACCTCAACATAATGTGGTGTGTTTGAGCTTAAAAAGAAAAAAAAACAAAAAAATTTGTTTTGGAATAAGGAATGTGAAAAAGCAATAACAAATTTTGTTATGGTTAATATGGTGTTGTTCGGTTTAACAAAGTGTTTGTTGAATGATCTAATAATATGCATACATACTCGTACATATGTATACTCGTATGTATACCATATATGAATTTTATTATTACTGTTGTGAACATATACATACATACGTTCAAATGAATTCAGAATTAAGAATAAAATTAAGAATTGACAATAAATAAAATATTAATATATATACTTACAAACACATACGAACTGCATCATAATTCTTCAATATTAAATCAACACACACTTTTTTTGTATTCAAATTCAATATGTGTATTCAATAATAATTTACCAATTAGTACGAGTAGAAAACTATTTACATATGATTTGAAAATTTTTTAAGTTCTTTTTCTTGATCCAATATGATATTTAAAAACAAAAGTAGGTAATATGTATGGCTTGAATAACAAAAATAATGGTACTTTTTTGCAAAATTAAAAATTGATTTTGGTTACATGAGTTAATTTAAATAGTTTTTTATATTATTTAAAGTAATAATAATTGTTCATATTTATTTTTCAAGAATTTTTATTTTTTTTTAGGTACGCACATGCATACATATGTACATACATATATAAATACATATTTAATAAGCATTAACAAAATATAAAGTATTTTAGAAGAGAAGATTTTTAGTATAAAAGAAATTTCAGTTATTTAAGTCAGATAAATTTAATATTCATGATGTTTGATGAGACTTTAATAGTAGTAAAGTTTTCTATGGTATAAAACTATCGAAGTATTTATTGAATGATCTTTATTGCTGCAAAATTAGTAGTCGATGATGTGAAGAAGATGTTCTATTGAATGGCTCTGTGGAATTTTTCGCTAACCAGGAGCAATTTTTTCGCAATAAAACGAGAACAAGGAAATCTAATATAGTTTTTCGATGATCATAACATTCATTTTCTGGATCAAACCAGTCGGGATATAATTCGTTTGTTTTTGAGACACATGCTTCCGCTATTTGTTTTTTTAAATTTACATTGTGAAAAAAATTGTCAAAAATATGTTTAAATACATTAAAATTTTGGTTACATATTTCGAAAAAGTTATCGCTCGGAATTTTTAAGAATATTTGATCGGATTTGTTTTCGAAATTTTTGTATTTTATTAGTTGTTCTGATGGTAAATTTAATAAAGAATCATAATTTCAGAACATTTCGTACAATTAATTTTATGACTTAGTATTTTAAAAAGACCATAGCCAACAAAATACATTTTAGCTGGGTCTGCTTCAGGTCTATTTAATCCGCCGATGTCATCATCAAGAATTAAATTATTTATGTTTTCTTCTGCCTCTGACAAAATTTGTGATTCATCTGAATCAGAAAATGTTAAATTTATGTTTTCACTGATTCCTGTTTCCCAATCCAGCATAATATCTGTATCATTTTCACAGTTTTTGTTACTGTGCATAAACGTTACTATACGCATAGACATAATTCTAGCGATAATCCAATTAAATTCACATACAGATGGATTTTTATTATTTCCACCTTTAGAACGTACTTGAGCAAAAATATTTTCAAGAGGATCTTGGTTTATTCTGGATGTAAGTAAAAATTCAATTTTAGGCGAGTTGCAAGCAAATAAATCTTGACTTAAGCCTATTATGCCATTTAGATTCAAAATAGATTAATATATTTCATAAAAATTTATCAAAAAATGCACCTGATCAACATTGAGTTTCAACAAAAAAGTGAACATTTCTTTTGAACTTCATTTCAATTCTAAGTAAATAAACATATGCACACATATATAGAATTATTCACCCATAAAGAAATTGCATAGCTTTAGATGTATAAGAACAACTAATTTTTAGCAAAGCATTATTTTATACACATTATGGACTTATTAAAGTTTACATGATTGTGTATTCACCAGCATACATATATAAATGAGAATTTCAGTTAAAATAAAAATAATTCAACACACCACATTATGTTGAGGTGAATAGCTAATCGTTGTCACAAAGTAGAGATGAAAAAAAATGTTCTTTTTAGACTTTTGCGATTCTTTATAAATATACATTCTTTGATTAAGGGTTAATTTTTAGTAACACAACATTCCGTATTTATAATTAGGAAATTTTTACTGGAAATTATACTAAGCAATATATTCATGCTGGGAAATCATTGTTTGATACGGATGATGTATATGTATGTATATTTGAATGTAAACATTTTTATTATTTTATTATTAACAAAATTAATATACAAAAGTTTAAGAATTATACGTTCTTGCTTCAATGTCAATAATTTCAACTTTTTTCTTTATGGTTATTCATTTCAAATTTTACTCTTTAATGTTAAATTTTCGTTTGAACATATATTTGTACATACATATTATAAAGATGAATTAATTTAAATCAATTTTCATATTATGAAAAAGTTATTTATAGTCTATACAAATTTAAGATAATCAAAGTTTTTGAAAAACATTTTATATATGGTAGGAAATTATTCATATTTGGTTCACAAGTCTAAAAATAGAAAAAGTGTTATTAGAATCTATCATTATCAATATTATTAAAGTATACGAAATCTTTTTTATAAACCTTTCGTGGAACTATTGGGTCCATTTTGTTATTTTGCAAAAATTTTGTTGTACATAATAATATGTAGGTATTACACGCACATATTTAATAGAGCCTTTTAAATTATTCTGTATTTCTGTATAATATATTTTCTTATTAAAACAATATACATAATATTTACATACAGTTCTCTCTACTTTATTCCAACGAGAAAATGCACAATTTTTGTTTACGCATAAAAAAGAATGTCCAGAGTTGGACAACCGGCGTTACAAAAAGATTGCATCCACGACTACGTATAAAATCAATTGTATAAACAACTTCTATTTATATGTTAGTAAATGCACAAAAAAACTATATTTTGAATTTTTCCAATGATTTTTTGTTGAAGTACGCGAAGTTGTATTTCAATTTTAATTGTATGTATGTATGAATGTTTCTAGTATTTTTTGACACGTTGGTAAGCAATTGGTCGTATATTCTAATATGTTAATACGAAAAAGTTGTTTATTTAAGCGGGTTGTTCAATTAAAGGGCTTCGACTAAACGATGAAATAATATGCATGCATATTTTAATAGTAGTAGAAATTTGTCTTATTTACTCAATCAAAAGGAAACAATTTATTGAGCTCGGTGCAATTAACCGGAAAGAACTGTACATACAACAGGCCAATATAGAAAATAACAATTCTCATGAAGTTATAGATTTATGTATATGCTTATTTAGGTATTCATATTCAATTTCTAATTTGTATCTACATTTTGATACCGTAAAAAATATGTTGTATATGAATACGATATATATACGTTATATGCATATAGCTATACTTTATTTTTATTATAAGTATGTACATAGTGGGGTATTTGTAACATTTAGCTTTTTTGCTATTCTGTTCACCCATTCATTTTGAAATACGAGTATGAGTAATATGAAGTATTTTCTTTATGGTATAAAAGGCCTAATTAATTTCATGGTAGTTTGGGCAAGGAATACTTTTTGTAAAAATATTATTTTTATCAACGACTAATGAAGTGAAAATTTTGACATTATAGATTAGCAAATATATTTTCATGTATGTATGTATGTATGTACATATATTTATCTATATTAAATATTATAATCTTATTTTGTGTTGAAGGTCGGTAAGAAGATCTTTAATATAAATGAAAGTGGAAGGTCTTTAATGAAGATTCATAGATTGAACGCATACACATACAAACAAGAAGGTTGACAAATATTATTTAAATCATATGTTTTTATAGAACGCATTACATGCTAAGGGGAAAATTATATGATGGCACTTAATTTCATGTGCTGAGTTTTCTATAGAAATGTTATCCGTAATCGAAACAGAGAAAACCATAAAAAACTGATTCTGAAGAAGTTTCGATCTGTTTGTCTTTGCGTTTGTGTCTCAATTTTTGTTGACCCGGTTTTTATAAAAATTTTATATTTGAGTTTAACTTAACCATGTCAAAGATTGTTCAATATTTGAGGTATGTGAGGTGTCAAGGAGTTAACCTTTACTAAGAACAGAATTTAAATTTATATATAAAGAATTAATTAACCAATTTATTTGAATTGATTGTTAAAACAATGAATTAGTAAATTTTTGGAGGTTACCAGCATTGTGGCAGATCAAACTTTCACTATAAAGACCGATTTCTTATCATTATTATATATTTCAGAAAATACAATATTTAAAGTGAATTATGAGCTGATCACATCAGACTATTGAATATCAGGCTATTTTAATAACATATTGATCAAAACTTGTTGTAGATTTAGGTAGTTTATAGAATACAAACTTGAAGATGGCATTGCAATTTTCGACTATAATAAAAAGAAAATTTTTCTGTATTTAACAATATTAAAAATATTTGATAATAAAATTACATTTTGTATTCTTTTAAGATAGAATATTCAAATATAATTTTAAAACGTTGATTACTAAACAATATTAAGCGATCAATTCAATTAAACTGCTATATTTTTAAGCTTTATAGTTGGTAGAAACTTTAGGTTGGACAATGCTGATTTACAAATTTAATTTATGTAGCACAAATTGTATACAATGAAAAAGTTTTTCCAAATATTATTCATAATCTAATCCATATTATAGACTTACGTTATATTTAAGTTTTCTTTCTCAAAATATATTCATCTTCTTTTAACATTGTGTTATTTTATTGGATTTGTTTTAATAAAATATGGCGCTATGAATTAAGTTCGAAAGCAACTCGTACTCTAAATCTTAAAAAATGAAAAATACGTGTTAAGATTTTTATAATTTTGTTTTTAATTTTCTCATTTTTTGTGGTTTAATCAAAAATTCTGTATAAGGGAAGAAAAATAATCTATCAAAAATAACCTTTATTTTGATTTCTTTTAAATTTCAGCTCATTCTCCTTTTCTTATTGAAGTTAATTCATTGGAATATAGATAACAAGTCTGTATATTTCCAAGAATTTATATTATAAGAAAAAATATTCAATTTCAATTATCCATATAACAAAGATTTACAAAAGACACTTTTGTAATGCTTATATGTATAAATCTGTAGATATGTAAAGATATTATACATACGAAGTGACATACTTTTATAACAATAATAATATATAAATTCCATATTCAAAATAATTTGTGCTCGATTAAATTCACCAAAATTTTAATAAAAAAAAATTTTGCAAAAAGAAAATACTTTCGTTTTTTTTTCGCTTTTCTTTGCGTGTCGTAATTTCAATAGAAATATCAAATGTTAATTGCTTCAAAAATAATTACAATTTGTTATTTTTGATAAAATAAATTAATTGAATTATTGATTTTATTTTAATCGTTTTGTACGGTAGCATTTTGTTTAGGTTTTTTTCTCTGTTAATTTTAATAAAATATCTGCCGAAATATTCGAAACAAAAATATTTTGCAGTAATATTGAAGAGTAATGAATAGTTTACTCAGAATAGAATAGTTTACTCAGATTTGATGAGTAAAATATTCTATTTCTAAAGTGATTAGCTACAATCTAACCTTTAAAAATTTGACATATAATAAGCGTAAGAACAACTATGCCTTTGCCAAGTGTTTTTCGAAAAAACAAAGTTTGCAACAGAAATGGCGTTCTTTTGCCAAATTTTTCTTCCACACTTAATTATAATTAGAACAAATGTGAGGTGTCAGGAAAGTCGAAATTATAATATTGATTAAAAGAATTTATTCAAAGAAAAAATAATAAAAAAAAAGAATTTGACATGCAAATTTCCAATAATCGTTTTATTTTTTTTTTTTGAGTTTGTTTTTTGTAATAATTAAATGATAATTTTATGAAGTAGTTTTAATTACGACACGACACAATTTTATTTCTTAATTTATAAAAAGATAAGTAAAATAAAAATTTATTTCAATTTTTGGAACAGTTGAATCATGATGTTGTAACAAATAAGTGAAAAAAATCCAATTGTTAATCGAAATGTATGGAATGTTATTGGAAAGTGTACAGCATTTCGTGCAGGTAAGCTATTATTCTTATTTTATCGGACTATCTACATATATGTTATGAAATAGTTATATACCTAAAGTTAATTGCGCACTTTGAAAAATTTAATAGTAAAATTATATATTAAAAAATTTAATTTCTTTAATAATCTTTTTATTTAATTAGTACTTCAAATTTTTAAATCAAATATGTTTGAAACTATCTTTCAATTAAATTATTGAGTATAACATAATAATGTATTGGAATTTTCAATTACACATGTCACACGTATTAAAACATGTAAATTGGATTTGCTTAAGTATACTTCCAGCATGTTAAAGCGCTAGTAAATAATAATATTTAAAGTCGTCTACTATAATTTGCGAAATAATTATATATGTATCACTATATCTAATTGCTTATATACAATTGTTAATATCTAATTGCTAATAGACAATAAATAATCTGCATTTACATATATTTACATATTATGTATAGATGTATAAGTTATACATATATGCATAAGCTTGTTAAAATACATAATTTAATTAATTTTACGTTATTGTAGACAGAATTCGGAGAACATGTCTGGAATCAAGCATTACAAGCTTCGCAATGTAAGCACACATCATTTAAAACACATCAGGTATACTCAATTTTAGACAATTAAGTCAAATAATTAACCATTTTCTTTATTTTGCTTTTGCATTATATATGCACTTATATATTTCCATTTCTTAAGGTTTACCCCGATAATTTAATGCCAGATTTAGCGCAATCACTTTCAGCAATAACTGGAAAATCATTTGATTACTTTATGAACTATTTTGGAAAATGTTTTGTTCGATTCTTCAGTAATTTTGGGTAAGCAATTAAAAAATGTTCATTAAGCGTTTCTCTAGTTATTATAATGTATTTACGTCATGTATATATGCAATTTTAAGAATACTATGTTGAATCGATAAATTTTACGGAATAGCAAAACAAAATAATAAATTAAATTATAATTTATCTTTTTTTAATTTCTTTTGGTGCTGATTTAATATAAAAAAGTTATGATAAAATTATTCGGGCAAGTGGCAGATATTTCGCTGACTTTTTACAATCTATGGATAATTTGCACAATCAAATGAGATTCACTTATCCTAAAAGTAAATTTTTTTCTTATATTAAAAATTTCTATTCCGATAATTAATAAAAATATTGAACTAATAAAAATACATTTTCAAAAATTTATTTTTTATTCAATGAATTTAGTGAAAAGTCCTTCTATGCAACTTGCAATGGCTGACGAAAATGGTAAGAATTAATTAATTTGAAATTTTTAAGATTCTCTTTAGAGAAATTTTAAATTATATATAGAACTGTAACTTTCATGCTTTTGTTGTTAAAAAACTTAGGTGCTGTTCTTATTTATAAAAGTGGACGCACAGGATTTTCAAGATATTTTATGGGACAATTAACGGAAATCGCAAAATGTTTTTATGATTTAGATTTGAAAATTACAACGTTAGAAAGCGAAAATGATGTAGCTGGAGGAACAACGGGACCAATTCAAATGAAACCACTTGCTGATCAACAAGTTGTTGTCAAATATCGTCTCGATTTTGACAATAAGGAATTTGTAAGGATATTTTTTAGAGTTTTGATCACTTAATTTGAATCACAAATATTTTATATTATTTTTATATTTAGATGGAAAAACGTATCAATTATATTCCACATGAATCGCAAAAATCTTTAAAAGACTTGGATGTAAAAATATTATTAGAATTATTTCCATTCACAATAGTCTTAGATCATACAATGAATATAACTGATGCCGGTGAAAAAGTATTAGAAACTTTTATTTTACATAATCCGGACAGAAAACCAACTAGTTTCATTGGATCACATATAATGGAAAACTTTAAATGTCGTCGGCCACGAGGAACAATTTTTGATTGGGATACTATATTTCAAATGCGTACAGTACTATTTGAATTGGAATTGATTAGAACAGGAACAACGAAAATTAGAAATCCAGATGAATTTCTAGATAACGAACACAATGATGAAACTGTTCTAGAAATTCAAAAAGTTGTAATTGAAGCTGAGGAACCTGACGATGGTGAAAGAAAGAATTCTCAAGGTTTAAAAAGTATTTTATTGAAAGGGCAAATGTTTTTCATCAAAGATTTGGATTCAATGGTGTTTTTGTGTAGTCCATTGTAAGTTTTGGTTAATAAATTTAATTTACTAAACACAATTGTAACAAATACTGGTTTTATGTTTTATGACACAATTTAGGTTGAATAATGTTATTCAATATTGAAAAATGTGCCAAATAGAATTATTAAAATTTTATTATAGTAATCAGGTCCTTCTATTGTAAGAGTTAAAAAAAACTTTATAATTGTTTATTTTTATAGAATTAATAATTTAGATGAACTTCATGGTATCGGACTATATTTAAATGATCTTAATCCCCATGGATTAAGTCGTGAATTAGTTTTAGCTGGCTGGCAACATTATTCGAAATTAGAGATTATGTTTGAAAAGGAAGAACAACGTTCTGATGAATTAGAAAAATCTGTTGAATTAGCTGATTCTTGGAAGAAAAAAGGTGATGAACTTTTATATTCTATGTTACCAAGACCAATTGCTGAACGTATGAGAGCCGGTACTGACCTATTGGAAACTTGTGAAACTTTCGAGGGTGTATCTGTTATATTTGGTGAAGTTATGGTAAATTTCTTTTACACGTTAAATCTATTACAAAAAAAAATTTATGATCCTCAATTATGTTAATTAAAATTTTTATTAAGGGCTTACATTCTGGAGAGAATATTCAAGAAGCTATGAATGCTGTAACAACTTTAAATGCAGTTTTCACCGCAATTGATGAAGAAATTTTTACACCGTTTGTTTATAAAGTTGAAACAGTAGGAATGGTTTATATGGCAGTGAGTGGAGCGCCAGATATTAATCCACTTCATGCTGAACATGCAGCAGATTTAGCTTTAAGATTAATAAAAAAAATTAAAAATTTAAAACTGAAAGATGTTTCAGTAAAAATTGGTAAGCATATGAAAATCATTAAAAGAACAAGTATGTAATTCTTATTTAATTCATTTCCAATTTAGGAATTCATTCTGGTCCGGTTGTTGCAGGTAAATATATTATTAATAATATTGTAAAATATCTAAATTGTTAATGTGAATGTTGGGAACACTTTTTGAAAACTATAGGTGTAGTTGGACTTAAAGTTCCAAGATATTGTTTGTTCGGTGATACCGTAAATACAGCATCCAGAATGGAATCGAGCGGAGAGGCATTTAAAATTCAAATATCATCAGCTACAGCTGCAAAATTACAAGATCGTGGTTACAAATTAGAAAGTCGTGGATTTGTTAAAGTTAAGGTACATTTCAATTTCGATACAAATTAAAAAAATTATTCACCTTCCTATTTTCCAGGGAAAAGGAGAAATGGAAACATTTTGGCTAGTTGCTGGTCCAGAAGATTAGAATATATTAGAGAAATATTAAATTATTTTGATGTTCAGATTATGTTATATGTTTTTATAGACCGCGAATGTTAGGATTTCGAATACTTTTGGTTGCAAAACTAAAAAAAAAGAACAGTTTTTTAAAACACTTAACTAAATGTATATGTAAAAAAATGATTTTCAAATGTTTATCCGTATAAGTGTTTCTTTCAATATTTTTCACAAAGATTTTCACAACACTTAATTTACAATAACTGTAACACTTTTCAAATAATGCGTTTACGTATCTATGTATATGTAATTTTAAAATATACGTGTTTTTATTTAGGAAATTTTTGATTAATTACACCAACAAGCCCCTTGACTTAATTTCCGAAGCCATCCATTAAATTTTGTTGTTCTCGTAAAAACATCAGCAGAATTTTTTCTTGTACACCCTAAACCCCATGAAACGACACCTTAAAATTTTATTAACTAGATTAATTTAAATTTCCCAACATTTTTCATATAAAAACAGATTTACCAGCCAAACGACTGCGACCTTTTTGTGTTATCATCAATGGGCCACCGCTATCCCCACGGCATTCAGTACCGATAGTTGGTGTAGCACTACTAGAACAAATCATTGTTGGTGCTATCAATTTACCAACAAGTGTATTACGACATTGTCGATTAGACAGAACTGTAGTATTAACCATACGCGTCAAATGAAACGAAATTTCGTTTTGAACATTTAATCTCCAACCTGTTAGAGATCCCTTTAAAAAGAAGAATAATTTTTTTTTTCCAGTTAATTTCGAAACAAAAAATTATGTAATAAAACAAAACTTACAATTTTTCCAACAAATGAAGTCTTGTCGACTGGCAAACAGATTGGACGAATCATTCCATTACTAATATCAACAGGTTCAGATAATTTTATTAATGAGATATCATTGAAAAATGTATTTTGATCAAAATGTAATGGGCGGTAAACCCTAGCAACCTGTATAATTAAATAAAATAAAATGTGCCTAAAAATAAAAATTAAAATTCCTTGAAAAATTTAACAACCTTTCTTGTTATGACTTCAAAATCTTTCTCATTGTCTTTTTTTATATCTTGTATATTAACTGTAATTTGATCCATTTGAAAAGTTGAAGTACAATGTGCTGCGGTTACAACATACAAATCGTTAATCAAACTTCCGGCACAAAAAAATTGCTGATTAAAAGTAAGCAGAACGATCCATGGATATTCATTTTTGGCAGTTACGTTACCATCAACAATCTTTTTTAAGGTCCTAACACCACATTCTATTGAAATAAATTGAAATTATTTATTTAATATTTTTTGATGTGCTTAAGTAGCACATAATAAATATCAAAGACTGGTAAGTAAAAACGTTATTTCAAATAAGGATTAAATAAAGTGGAACTTTATTTAGGTATATAAAGAATTTTGAAAAAAAATTAAAACTTACTACATTTCGGGCATAAGGTTGTTCCAGTTGTAAAAGCATTAATATTTTCATTGATTAAAAATGAATCGTAACCTTCAGTTAGATTAGCAACATCATTTACTGGATTCACTATATCATCATTTACCTCAGGATTTATAGGATCTAAATAAAAGTCTAAATTATTAGCAATTGGTACTGGAGCAGAAAGTACTGGAGCCATTGTTGTTGTAATTTCTGTCGAATTTTTTTCATTTAATTGTTGCTCTCGAAATTCATCGGAATTATTTAATGATGTAAAAACTGGTCCATTTGATTGAAATTCTGTCATGTTCTGTACAATATTTCCTGAATTCCTTAATTTCTCTATTATGCTATTTTCAGTTACTATTTGTTTTGTGATAGAAACTGTTTTGGTTGTTGAAGGTTTAATTGTTGTTGTTGTTGTTGTCGTTGTTGTTGATAATTCTAAATTATCCATTTTAGTAAGATTTTCTTGATTTTTTATCGTAATTGTAGGTTTAATAATTCTTTCAATTACTCTTGGGTGACTAATATTTTTAATTTCATGGTTTTCAGATATTGGTGTACGATTTATTAATGGTCGTCTATGACGCTGATTCAATTGTAAATTTGTGTTTGGCACTTTTGTTGTAGCCTGTATTTACAAAAAAATATATATATGTATTTTTTTAAATAATTAATCTTTTTTAATTGAGGACGAAAGTTTTTTAATTACTTTACTTATGACCGGTATTAAAAATGCAATAATGAAAATAAATAAACTAATTAAAAGTTTCTTGTGAATATAAAAAACCATCTTCGTCGTCAAAACTTTTCTTGTTCTGTTTTTTCTACGAAAAAATATACGTTATTCTATAAAACTGTTCAACGCGAAGTTAAAATTATAAATAACTGAGAATGAAAAAGTATTCATTGGTAATAATTCTATATTGTAGAAAGTTTTTGAAAAATTATTGGAATTAATAGCAAAAAATCTTTACATATATAAATATTTTTCACTATATGGTTGAATAAAATGCCTTGCGGGTCAGTTGAACATTATTTAATCAATACGTTGTTTACCATTTGGGTCATTATTAAATATTCTTAAAAAAGTTTATTCTAATAAGGTCGATGAACTAAATAGTTTCTTATGTTATACTCAACTATTATTAATATTATACGCTTTTTGTAGGTAGATGAAGAAAGTAAGATAGTAAATAAAATAAAAGTAAAATATAGTAAAGATAATGGATGATCAAAAAAAGACAGGGGTCTTCTAAATTTCATTTTGGTTAGCTTGAAACCTTTGATTAAAGAAAATTTTTCAAACAATAAAAATTTGCAATACCTTATAGTTGTCAAAATAATGTTTTTTCCATTCTGGTTTATTCTTGTCATTTATGAAATTTAAAGTAAAAGTCTTGTTATTCCCAAAATAAATTGATGTCTGGAGTGTTTTTTGCCAGTACAATACTTGTGATTTATGTTCATCAATTTATTTTAATATTTTTTATATTATATTGTGAAAACATAGTGTCATAATAAAAAACAAAAGAGTTGATGCTCGCCAATAGGCAAAAAACCTATATAGGGGAAAGATTTTCTTGTTCTACTTGTTGTTCCTCAACAAGGTTTTTGTGTGCTCATACTTCAATTGAAATTCACATCAACATATTTCAAATTTTTTACTATTATAAGAGTTGTTTTAAAAAATTTAGTTTTTATATTGTACTTATTTTTCTCGTAATTTTTGGAGTATGTATATGTATATGTGTGAGAATGTTTATGATAGTTTCTGAACAGAAAGTACTTTATGTAATCGATTTGAATGTAATAGAGGAAGACTGGCAGAATTCGTTCAGCTTTAAACGCAGTTTTTTGAGTTAAACCCGAGTAAAATAAATTTAAAAATTAAAATTTTACGAAAAATAATTTATTTATTTTTAATTTAATTTTTGTTTTTTAAATAAAAAGTTAAGTTTTTTGCTATTTTCCCAAAATAAACTGTAGAAGTACAATTAGTTACTGCAATAACAAGAATTTTGTGTGTTCTGCAAAATCCATGGAAGATATTTGGTAACTCTAGCATATACTCCAGGCGCATTTGCTTTAGCACAGCCATAACCATATGAAACTACACCTACGGAACGAAAATAAAAAAAAAATTAAATATATTATTAAAATAATTTTGCAATTAATATTTAATAATGCAAAGAATTAAAAAATATTTCAATTGCTTATTGTAATAATAAAAGTATTTACCAGCTAATGCAAACGCATTTGTTCTACCATTTGACTTTGAGGGAGCAATTAATGGGCCACCGCTATCACCCTATATAAAAAAAAAAATGATTTAAAATTTCATTTGTAATTCAAAAGTACAGCTATATACAATTACAAAATACTATATAATGAAGTTTACCTGGCAAGCATCTTTTCCACCTTTTTTAACATCACCAGCACATAACATATTCTCTGTTATCATATTACCATATTTTGTCTTTTTACAGTCATTATTTGAAATAACTGGTACAGTAACTTCACGTAATATTGATGATACTTGACCTTGTTCTACTGTTAATCCCCAACCAGCAACAATGGCCTTAAATTTATATTTATATATACATAATTAAAATTTAATTTTTGGGATGTGGTTAATTTGTTTAATGCTAATAAAGAGTAATCACTACTTACATCTTGATAATCAAAAGTATGTTGTGCATCTGGTAAACAAACTGGTCTAGTTGCACCATTGAGAGGAACTGTATGTGACAATTCTAAGAGAGCAATATCATTATCAAGTGTACGAGTATTGTAATTGGGATGTGCAATTATTTGTTTAACCTATTTAAAATTACAAATTCTTATTAATTTATTTATATTATAAATTAAGTTTGCATGAAAAGATATAGATTTTAGAGTAGAATTTTTATTAATTTTGAATGAAAAAAGAAGTTTAAACCTTAAAAGATATAAAATTTAAGAAGCCAAAACAAATAGATTGTATACTCTTTTTTAAAGTCGGAAAATATAGAAATTTAACATTCGGCATTTTTTCAGCATGATAAGAAATTTTTAATTTTAAAGTTCAATTTTATTTTTGAAAATAATTACCGCTCTATGTATTCCAGTAGATGCAGCATTTCTATCAAATTGTAATAAGCGAACTCCCAAATTATTAGCTTTAAAACCGGTCGTGCAATGAGCGGCAGTTAGCACGAATTTATCTGTAATTTTTTTAATAAAAAAAATTTATAGAACTATGTAAAAATTCTATATATAATGAAAAAATTGATTTCATGTAAATAAACTTACCATTGATCAATGATCCACCACAGAAGAATCTTGAATTATATGTCAATTGTGCTATCCAGGGATATTTGTTATACCGAACTGCGAATCCTCCAACAATTCTATTTGAATTAATCCATCCGCAATCTATAATATAGTTAGATCAGTTAATGTTATTCAAAATAGTTTGCTTCATTTGATTTTTATACTAACGGCATGTTGCACAACGATTCATTCGGATAGGCTTATACTTTGGTTTTCTATCTGCGATTAGTTTTGGAAAATAATCTTCTTCGTTAATAAAATCTCTATGATTACCGGTATTGTTCTTTTCGTAAAAGTAAACCGCCTTAAATTTTAAAAATATAATATTAATATAAAGAAAGAATCAACTATATTTTTGTATATATTTTATATTTACATATGCGCCTTTAACAACTAATGCACAAGATATAAAAGCCAAAAGTGATATCAAACGCATTTTGATTGAATATTATTAAAATTTTTAGCGAAGTTATGGTTTTTGTAGTTCGAGATTCAAAAGGCAACTGAAGTATATAATTTCGATTCTTTAATTATGAAAAATCTTCACGAAAATTCAATTTTGCAGAATTCTCTTTTTTCATATTAAGAAGATTTCAATAATCATAATATTGAAAAAAAAAATAAATTAGGCTTAATATGAAATTGAATTCAGAACAGAACAACCAAAAAATTAATAAAAAAAAAAACGAGAGATTCCTTTAATTTAGCTGCTGCCTCATTTGCATTTTATGACGGTAAATTTTGATAATCGTATACACAATAAAACTGTTTATCGGACAACGACATAAATTCGAAAATTATTTTAAAATTCTAAATATACATTAAGAAATTCCTGGTGTGTTATAGAATATATATGTATATTTATATACATACATTTATCTTAATGTGTATATTTCAAATGTTATGATAATGGTCAAATTAAATTTATAATGTCAAATATTTTATTAGTGATTTTAACATCAGATTTGCATAATCAGTTGTCTAATAATGCATAAACTATTGGAATGAATATTAAATAATTAATTTGAATATGTTCACTGCTCAATATATTATATAATGAGTAAGGATAACAAGAGGAGTAGCAGGGTTTCTGTATACATCCGTTCTTATAAACTATTACTTTTAATTCGTGGTTTTGGAAGTTTCGTTTTGCTAATTACAGCTTAACTTCTTCACGAATATCTTGTGTTTAGAGCCAATAATCTTATTATATTTTTGGTTTTTTTTAATTGATTTCTTTAAGCTCACGAATATTCGTATTGAAAAAAATTATGATGACGAAAAAGGGTTGATGACCTGTCCAAATATTTTTTGCTTAAAATTTTCTGGTAATTTTTTTTCATGTCGTGTTTATATTTTTGTGTTGATTTTCAGTTAGATGAAAGTGTTGTCGTTTTATGGGCTGCCTTTTATTATTAAATAAAAATAAAAGCTGTGTTAAAAATTTATTGATGGTAAGTTATAAGATAAATAATTTTATTTTTTTGATGGCATTTATTTTTAGCTTTTTCATTTATAGAAAACTTTAATATAAGGAATATTTCTGAAACTACAAGTTTACAAAAATATACATTTTACTAGTTTTGTAAGACGGTAATTTATACATTTCTACGTTTGCCCAATTTAAAAATTTTTGTGGTTTCGATAAAATAAATGAAGAAAAAATGGCACTATTTAAGCTTCGAAGGACCATAATTTTTGGAGGGGGGGGGGCATAGGTAAATTTCAAGTTTCCCCCTTGAAGGATGTAAAAGTTTTGTAAAAAGATACACAGACGGACTGACTAACGAACTGATAAGAATTTTTTCTTTTTCTATTTTTTTGGGGAAAGGATTTTATTTTTAAATTTGCGTTGATTAAGATTCGTTGAAAATGATTATAGTTGGTAATGATAACTAGTTAAGTACATCTCATAAAAATTTTTAATAATTTCGAATAAGTGTTGTTTTTTTTTTTTGTAAAATATAAGAGAATTCTTTAATTTTTGGCAAATTCAAAAATTAAAAATTTGAAAATTACAACAAAATTGCAATAATAATTAATTGTATTCAACTACACACAATCATAATTTACAATATGTGACACTCCTGTAAATATGCAAAACTTTTCTTCAAATATGATGTAACACGGTAAGTAAAGCAGAAGCTAGCTTTTTTTTTTGCATAATTACTTACTTAAAAAGTTTTTACATGATTAATTTAGCTATGTTTAAAAATTTTAATTTCAAAATGTGCTCTTAAGTTTAATTCTCACTTAAAATTTCGTTGCTTAAACATTTGGTGCCTATATTTTGTGTTATTTTCAATTTAAGTTTTTAACTTTTACAAATTTAAAGCAACTGTCTTGGTTAAAGAAGAAGCTTTAAATTCGAATTGAATATCAGTTTAGCTATATGTTATAAGTTTATAAAATTGTATACACATATACCAAATTTATTCCAAAACTTTATATGAACAATAAAAATTTTTATTGCTCTTTTAAGTGAAATACAATGCTCTCTTCAATTTTACTTTCACTGATAATTTAATACTTTTATACCATAAAGTTCTCATAAAATGTAAAAATATGTATTATGGCATTGGAAGATGACTCATAATTTAAAAATTTCGTAATATTTACTAGTTTAAAATTTCAAAAAAGAAATTATATTTTAAATTTTTCAAGTCAATTAAGAATATAGAAGTAAGATTAACTTAAATTGCGTGTATCTGTTGTATTAAGAAAAATAAAAAGTTTAATACATTTCATAAAATTTTTTCAAAAGATGTTTCCGACACCGTACTCTTGTTGAGAAAGCAACAAATTCATAAATCCTCTAGGCATAAACATCTAAACTAGGGGCTTCACCTTGACTATTATTAATTTGTGACTATTACTAAGTAAACATGACTATTAATAATTTTTTAATTATCTTATTGTCTTTTAGAGTTGTTTAAAACTAATTTCTTAATATTTTTTTCAAATGGCATTATAAAACTACTATAATATTCATAATATATTTTTAAGTCAACAACGAAAACAAAAAAAGAAAATTTGTGTTGCCTTAGCCACATGCGAAAATACAGAAGCGTTTGATAAAACTTCAACTAAACTAGTTTTTCTCTTTTTGAAAACTTGGTGTTTCATTTAGAAAGAGCCAATTCATTTTTTTTTTAGGAGCTTGGGATAACTGAATGCTTAGTTTGCAAAAAAATAGTTTTTTTTTGTAATAATTTTTTTTCTATAAACATTCAATTTCTCTATGAGACTTAAAACATAATTTGCATTTATGATTGAATGTGAGTTCATAAATTTTAAATTTTTTGCTTTTTAATGGAAACTGTAAATTTTGGCTCATTAGAATCAATTTTATTAATTTTTAATGAATAAAATAAAAAGATCAAAGAACCTTGACCATGCGAGCTTAAATTTATTATACATACTACTTTTTAAAATCATTAGTATTAAGAATTCTAAATATTTTGAAAGAACATCAATTTTATATTATAAAAAATGTTTGCTTTGAATTAATTTTTATTTGTTTATTAACTTAGAAAATTATATTCGAATTAAATAATTAATTATATTCGAATAATAGTGTATAAATATAAAAAATTGTGGAATTTTAATTTCTTTAAACATAAATTATTTCTAAAATAGTATTTGAGTCTTTGGTTTCTAATTGTACTTTGTCTAAAATAAATAACAATGGGTATTAAATATTTCTCGTTTATGGGTACTAGAAAATTAATTAAAAAAATGTTTCTATTACAAATGTACATTTATTTTTTATATTGCAACCACCTTTCAAATTGTTTCCCTATCTTGCACATTCTTTATGATGATTTGATGATATCTTGATGAACTAAATTCATACATTATCTTAATTTCTGTAAATTGCAATATTTATCAATACCAAATAATTCGCCTTAACTGCCTTTTCTCTAGATTATCCACATAACATGTTATCTGAGTTTAGTGGTTTCGAGAATTTAAAGAATGCGTGTAATCTTTTATAAATACATTTTTTTATTAATAAAATAAATAACAGTTCGTATATAAGTAAATAAGTAAAATCAAAGATCAGATGCAAGTATTCAAGTAAATAACTATTGCAATAATAATTCTAGTATCTTAAAAGTTTTAACAGTAACACGCATCTTGAGTATTACTTCGAATCCAAGTTCCATATCTATTTACTCTAGTATAAACTCCAGGCTGATTTGGTTGAGCGCAACCTTCTCCCCATGAAACAATACCTTAAATAAAATATAATTTCAACATAAGAATCATTTTAAGAATGATATACAAAACTATTTATATAATTTTGAAACTATTTTATTAATTTATTAAAATAAATTATTTTTATTAACCTGCAATTTGATGAGATCCATCACTTATAACATGTAAAGGGCCACCACTATCGCCCTATAAATAAAAACTCATTGGTTTTTGTTCAATCATAAAATTGTTTTATATTCATTTTACCTGACAAGAATCCTTAAGACCTTCTTTGAATCCCGCGCACAACATATTGTCAGTAATACGTAAAGCACCGTATTTAGTTCGACGACATTCAGTGTTTGACATTATAGGAACTGATACCTCTTGTAGAACATCTGATATTACTCCATTTTCCATAGTTGCTCCCCAACCAGTTACAATACCCTTAAAGTTAAGGAAAACAAAACACTTTATATAAGAATACGTGAAATTGATTAAAAATTTTTACGGTCTCGCCGGTAAATGATTTTCCAGGTGTAGGTAAACATGCTGGTCTTAAAACTTTGTTCATTTGTACAGGATGATCTATGTAAAGTATTGCAATATCATTATTGTACGTTGATGATGTATATAAAGAGTGTTGCAAAACTCTTCGTACCTTAAAATTAAAAAAAAGAAAATAAAATGATTGTTCAAAGAAAAAGAAAAAAATAGCTATAAAATGTAAATTTTTTTGAAAACAATAAATTGTTTTAGCCTAAACATATGCAATTTTTGCCATTTCAATAAAATACTTTTCTATCCAATCTTTGGGCACTAGTCATAGCTTTATTATGTTCTAACATTCGAACAACTATATAATCTTTATTGAATCCATTGACACAATGTGCTGCTGTTAACAAGTTACGATCAGTTATTAATGTTGCACCACAATAAAATTTGCCATGGTATAGCATCATTGCCATCCAAGGATATTGATTCTCAAGAGTTTCTTTACCACCAACAATACGTGTTCTTTTATTTGTATGACCGCATTCTATAATAAAGTTTATTTGAATTAAAATATATTTATAATTATAACAATAACTACAACATACCACAAGGTCCACAAGTTTTGTTGACAGCAACTGGTTGTGGTGTTGCTACTGGAGGCGGTGGCCTTAATCCTGGTAATAGAGCAACAATCCAATCCAAGAAAGGATTTTGTTTAACAGTTGCATCAGTTTCATTTAAAAGTATAATTTGTTCATTCTCCGCTACTGTCGTTGTTTGAATATCCAAATTATTATCAGGAAACGTTGTAGTCTGTTTGTGATATTAAGATATAATATTTATATAATTATAACATAAGTATGTTCAAATTGCAGTTATAAAGTTTGGGAAAATTTTAACTTTATCATATAAATCAAACAAAACAAATGAATAGAGCTATGTAAATCTATTAAAATAAACTTTATTAGAACTTTTATTAAAAATAACCTAAAGATGGTATAGGTACACATATGTATGTATGTATGTGTGTAATGTACATTAGTATTCCATTGTTTAATAAGACAGCTTACTTTTGTTTTGTTCTTTTGTTTTAATTTTTTTAAAAATGTATGTATGTATTTTAAGTTTATATATGGTATTTTGGGAATTGCATACACAACCTAACAAACACATTGTATCATCTTCTGAAATATCAATAAAAAATTTTACGATATGTCTTGTATTCAGAATTTATTTGATGTTGTGTCTGCAACGTTGTTAACACTGAAATATCTGTCAAATCGTGTATCCAAAATTTTTTCGATACGTATGTTGTATTTCAGTTGATTTCAGTGCGCTTGTTGACATTGTTGATTAATGCAAAATTTTTAAAAGGCAAGATAGATAAATCAAAGTATACAAAAAAATTTGTTTGTTAAATAGGTAGAAATTTTTAAAATAAAAATTAATTGAACACAAAAAATTTTTTTATTAAAGTACCTAACAGATGCATGTATGTAAAATGCTTTTAATAAATGTGGGACTGAGGTTGGAAAATTATGATCTGGGTCATTATAACGAACTAATTCCTCATTTTATATTCTAAACAATTTGTCAATTTATTTTCACATAATTTGAATTTCAATTAAATTTTTTTTTTGTAGTTTTATGTCAAAATTAGATAACGCAATGAATCAAAATATTTAAGTCAAATGTCAAAATGTTTAAATATAAATGTTACATAATATGCTTTAATGATTCTGACCCATACATACTGAAATAGGAAAACTAATTTCAATTATTTTCTGCAGATACAGACATTAAATGTCTAATTTTCAGTTAATTTTTGTATGATAATTTTACTATCACAAATTTTTTAAGGGAAATACATACAAATGACAGAAAACAAGAAATATTTTTTAAAAACCTTTTAAATTTATACAAAAATAAATAAATTTTATGCATACAACTCTTTTGTAATAAAATTTCGAAATTAATTTTAATATTAAATGTTTGTTATTTAATTATATTGTTATATTATTGAATTGATTTTATCACATTATTTTTCTAATAGCACTTTTATCATATATTGGTCTAAATTTCGTGTATCAAGCAATATGTCAAATGTAATTCATATGTCAAATATCTTATAAAGTTTTATTTAAATCAAAGTAAAAAATTTTACTCACTTCTACCGTTAACACTTTTTCATCGCTTTTGTCAGCTGTAGCAAATTGAAGTATGACAAATCCAAATAAATAAAATTTGAAAGAATTTGATAATTTCATTGTCCACTTTAAATTTCTTTCTTTTTTTTTTAAAAGAAGCGTCAATGAAATTTTTCACTGTATTTGGTTTTTTTTATTTTATTTTAGGAATACTAACACATTAATATAATAAAATTAAAATTAATTTTTTTTCACAAATTTTTATCACTGTTTTTATTCTATTTTTATTTGCTACAGATCTATCAACTCTTGTATGTGGTTATTATATGTTCGAATTAAAAATTTATTAATATTTAAAAAAAAAAAAAACAAAATTTGTATATGAAAACTTTCTGATTAAAATCTTTCAAAAGAAAACTTAATCCAAAAGTTCACAAGAAAAAAAAAAACTTTATACACCGACGCATTCGTTTTAAACTGAAAAACAGATTAATAAAAATTAAAACCGTGATACGCAGTATAAGAGTAAGAGTGAATTCTGTATACGTAAAGTGGGATCTTTCGACTGACTATAAAATTTATTTGTATAAAAAAAAAATTTCTTTTTCAATTTTTTCCATTTTATTGCTTTTATTTAACTTTCTTTCAAAGAAGTTTGCGCAAAATTACACGCTTAAAAATTTTCGTCACATATTTAATATAAAAGATTATGCAGTTACTCTATACAGTTTAATTCGGTCTTATGCTGTGGTGAATTTAAAATTTTTTAATTTATTTCTTAGCTATTGTAAATTTTGTTTTGTTTTAAACCAATGTAAGTATGTGTCCATATATTGTTAAAAATTGGCAGTGGTGCCAGACATTGAATTACAAAATAATGTCAAGTGTGAGAAATATGTGTGAAGTATTTTATATAATGTACGAGTATATAAATTTATATACTAACGTCATCGAAATAATATTAATTTTTTAGTTAGTAGTTTCAATAAATTTAATTGTGTAATTATTTATGAAAATAATAAGTGAATTTTGAGAATTTTATTTTTAATTTTTTTTAACTTATTTGTATTATGGAATTCAATTATTTGTAATTACCGCTTTGTAGTAAAAATAGCAAAAAGTCTTTCATAGGTGTGATTTGCTTCTGAAAATTTTGTTTTCTGTAATATAAGTGTTTCTAAAGTTGTGGTGAACGTATTTTATATGAGGATTAAATTTAATCTCGAATAGTGAGGAACACCAGTCTAAAATGTTTAAGAATTTTTGAAACGACATTCATTTTTGCAAAAGGATTTATTAAAAAATTGATAAGACTTACATATTTTGTAACGTTTGGGATTGATTTGCTTTTGGAAATAATTAATTTTCGAAATTTCATTCGAAATATTTTCATTCGAAATTTTGCAAGTAAATTTTTTTTTATTTTAATGGAATATATAGTAAATTTACTTCGAATATTAAACAGCTACTTCAATAAGAATTTACGCTTATGTTCTGGATAAAATTAATATCTACTGCAAAACTATAAATCATGCCAAAGAAATGAAAGAAAAGAATTAGATGATTTTGCTTAAATTTAAAAAAGAAAATTAATGTCACTATTTTTATTTCTCTAAAAATAAACAAGGAGTTTCAAAGAATCGTTTTACCGTTATTTCACTGTATTCAGGTTTTTCTTTCTTACGACAACGAAAAACTTATTTAAACTTATTTATATCATGGTATAAATAGAAAAAAAATTAAAACAAAATTTCATCGACTAGTTTAGGCAGATTAGTTATTCATCAATTCTTGATGATGAGTGGTAAGATTGTTGTTTATTACTGGATTGCAAAAATAAAAATTAAAAGCTTTCTCGAAATAAATATAAATATAAAATAAAAGAAATAAACAACAAAAAAGACGAACAAAAAATTAAAATGAACTATCAAGATCAAGGTGCATCAACTTGACAAAACGGTTAAAGAGAATTTTTAATTTTACTGTTTTTTGTAGTAAAAATGCCTTAAGGTATGCTTAAACCAGATTTGTCTTTTTTTGTTTTTTGGTGTTTTCGTTACAATATATTCAGTTTTTGAAGACCAGATTAAAAAAAAAATTGTTTTTCTTTTTTATTTTAGCAAAGTAAAATGAAAACAACACACACATATATATATATACGTATATAAGTACAATACTGGTAACAGTTTTAAGAGCTAATGTTCCACTTTTATTTCATATTGTTTGTACCTTCAATACAGTTTGTACGATTCTTTTACTTTTTTTGCAAATCATAGAGTGTTAATTGATAAATCAGGCAAATTTAATATTTTCTAATTTTTTGAAAAGTATTTAAAATTTGTTTTTACATGGTGTTTGGAAATTTTCAAAGAAAACTAATCGAAAAAGAACATTATTATTGTATAGTTTTTTAGGTATACACGCTGTGTTTTTGTTAAAAACGCTTAAGTGTTTTAAAGTAAAAAAAATTTATTTTCAACTGATCTCGTAACTATAAAACATTATAAATTGTTTTGGAAATTTTTTCTAATAGTTATTTACAATAACATGCATCTTTTGTATGATCTCGTATCCAACGGTAATAGCTGGTAACTTTACTATATATTCCTGGAAGATTTGGTCTTGCACAACCGTCTCCATAAGATACAACTCCTTAAATTTAAAAATTTGTATTTTTACATGCACATTTTTATTTTTGAAAAAGTAATTTTTTTCTTACCTGCTTGATAATATTTATTTTTTCTTTTTATATGTAACGGACCTCCACTATCACCCTTTAAAATAAATAATTTTCGAAATTATACTTTGAATGTTATGTACGCTTATAAAATGAGTTTTTTAATAAAACCTGGCAAGCATCTTTTCCTCCAGCTTCTTCACCGGCGCAAAGCATATCTGATACAACGGGAACTATTTTTGATTCACATTCCGTATTAGAAAGAATTGGTAATGAGACTTGTAAAAGATTTTCAGCAACTTCACCATCTTCACTTGTTCTTCCCCAACCAATGACTAAACCCTAGAATTTACACCCAAACAAATTTCACATATATGCAAAAAGTGTTGTTTATTTACAAAAAAAGACAAATTTTTTTTGTAAATATGGAAAATTTTTTGTTTTTACCTTTTCATTAACCAAATTTAAAGTGCCGCAAGGTAAACAAATCGGTTTTAGTTTCTTATTGTTAAAATCTACTTTCGACTCCAATTTTATCAAGGCTATATCATTAATGTATGTATCGTTATTGGAATAGTAACTTGCATGAGCAAAAATTTCTTCAGCCTTCATTTAAATAAAGTTGATATATTTTACAATTATTTAAAAAATATGTTTGTAAATTAAAGTTTATAGCTTACATTTATATCAATTGCATGTTCGCCTGGATTATTGCGATTGTGTGTTAATAACCGAACAGAAATACCATATTTTGAAAATTTGTGAACACAATGAGCAGCAGTAAGAATATACCGGTCTAAGTAATAAAATAAAATGTATTTTTTCTAATTCCTATCATCTTTTTAAATCACAGAGCAGTTTACAATATAAAATTACTGACCATTTATTAAACTTCCACCACAAATAAATTCACCACCGTATAACAACATAGCTATCCATGGATACTCATTTTCTTTTGTTTCTATTCCACCTACAATTCTACTGTTGACATTTGGAATTCCACAAACTGAACAAATGTATAAAAAGTGAATTATAAATAGAATTATAACAATTATTTGATTAGCAATTAGGCGTAAGTATACAATTTTTGACTTACCACATTGCGGACATTCAGTTTTTGGTTTATTGTCTTTAATTTTCTTTAACAATTGCAATAACCAAGGTCTTTGACTTGGTTTAGTTACCAACTTCTCAGGAAGAATATTCTTAATTTAAATAATTTGTTAAAGTAAAATTTATAAATTTATTTAATATATTTTTAAAGAGTAAAATTAAAAGTGAAAAAAAAAAAATTGAATTTGACTAACCGAATTACAAATTTGCAATATGACACAAATCAGCAACATGTACAAGATTTCCATTTCTACTTTGATCCCTAAAAAGATATATTTTTTTAAATGTATATTTTATTAAGTTTAAAGGGCACACCTATAAATAAATGCGTACGTGCAGCGTATGTATATAGAATGTATATGTATAGTGTCCTTAAATAGGTACGTGCGTATCATTTGTTATCTGTTATACGCAAGTATAAATATGACATTCAGAGAAATTCATGTTTGAACCATATGTAAAATTGTTTCTGCGAAAATTCTTAAAATTAATGCATGTCCTAAAATTTCGATATCGCCCGTATTGCATATTTCGGGTTCTGTAATATAAAAACATGTTCCTATTTAAAAATTTTTTGACTTATAATATACGCACTCATTTAGGTGCAGGCCTAATAATTTACACATGAATAAATTTTTTTTTGTTATGTGCTTAATGTAATTATTAATTTTAGGGGACACAATATGATTTCCAAAAATTTTTTAAATGATTTCTAGAAATTATCTTAATTGTTTAGATTGTTAGTTTCCTTCTAGAAATTTTATGTTTGTTGAAATCCCAGATGATTTGTAGAATTTTTATTGTAAAAGTACACTGTAAATAAGCTCATTTATAGATTAGATACATTTTGTTTTAACATTTCCATTATTAGTCTGTGTCACAGTTTTATACAAACATTTACTCTGATACCAAATTTTGTTAAAATTTATATTTCCGAAAAATTTTTTTTTTCTATAATTTTCAACCTTAGATAATGTCATTAACCTGCTATATATTTATATTAGTAATTGAATTAAACTTTACAGTTACAAATTCCCGCATACATATACTCATTTCAAATATGTTATTATTTTTCTTCTATGCTTTAATAGCGGTTAATAGTTTATTTGATATCAAATATATAAATAAAGTATGTGTTTGTTTTTCCCCAAATATTTGCAAATCCTTGACTTTTAAATTTCAGTATAGATTTAAATAACACTCCCCATATTTGAACAGAAGTAAAAATGAAAAATTTAAATTTTTTTCTTTATTTTTTTAATTTTTTCAAATTTTATTACTCATTATTGTTTATTTAATTTAATATTTATAACTAAAAATAAATAATATAGAGGTAAATATTCTATACAGTCGACATTTTACAAAGAGCTTAAAATAAAAATAACAAAAATAATTTTGATCAAATATGGATGCATGATCATTAAATGGTAATAAAATTTTAACAATTGTATAAATTCCGGAAACGAATATGTATGAGAGTATTTTTCACATCTGTATCAATGAACATGCTTTAGAAATTAATTAAAATTACTCGCAATTATAAAACCAGCATTAAATATCACATGTTTCTAATATAACCCTTAAAATAAAATTTTATATTTTAATTCATAATTTTTCTGAACAACAAAAAAAAATGTTCTTATCGGAAAAATTTATATTCACAATGTCATATGAATATAATTTTATACGACACGCTTGTATATAGATGCATATACATACATCTATATGTATTTGTACATACTTGTATACATAATTATACTTTTTTCAAATAAAATTTGTCTAACTGGAAAAATTAAAGTAAATGTTACAAAATACCTAGATACTATTATTTAATTTTTTTTTTGTTCTAACCTTGTCCTAAATTTAGGAAATCTATACATAACCATTTTAAAATAAATATTACAACTTTAAATACAGGAAGAATCAAAGCCGTGACTTAAATCTTAAAACCCTCTACAGTCTATATGTATAATATCATTTTAACTTTAACTTATGTATAATAATTGTAGATAGTTTAAATGTCAACCAAAATGTATAGGAAATTTTTCTACAATGTTTATATGAATTCAATCCCTTTGAGAATTAATTCGTCTGATATTTACTTATGTTTATATGTACATTATAATACATGAGTATAAAGGTAAATATTATAAATTTAATTATTGCACTTGAAATGTCAACAAATTTTATCGAGTTTCCTTCTGTCATTATTTTTTTACATGAGTAAGCTATTGAAATTTTATGTGTCAATGCATGTATGTATGAAAACATGTATGTATGTATGAACACAAAGGCTATATACATATGTACATGCTTTTCTAAAGTTTTATCTTTTAGTTATGCTTTTTTGTTTTTGTTATGTTATTTGTAATGAAAACTGGGTCATAAAACTGCATTTCAATAATTAAAAAAAAAAATATTTTAATGTTGCACTTAAAATTTGTTAACAATATATTTATTTTATCTTATTTAAAAAGTTAGTATATGCACATCGTAAATAATAAAAATGAATTATTTGCCCCTCAAATAAAAAAAAAAATAATTTTTTTTTATGAATTTTACAAGGTCATACTTATAACAAAATTGGAAGTGGGTAAGGGTTACGAATAAATTAAATTATTAATATTATACGCTAAGCATAATAAATGACAATATTTTGGCATTTTCTTGATTTAAATTGTAATTGCAAGTTCAATATTATTTTTTTTAAGAATTTTTAAAATCATGTTAACTGAAATACTTGTATAAGAAACGCATGTGTTTTATAACATTAAAAGACACTATGTTTAAATGACAACTCTTCTTTAATAAACTGGTAACCTGAATTCTTAATTTCATAGTTCCTACATTTTTATTCACCGCATTGCATGCAACAAGGGTGGTTGAGTGATGGCACCAAATTTCTTCATGCTAGGAAAGGGTAAATAAACTATTTTTAGGGAGATGTTTGTCTGTCTGCCTGCCTGTCGGTTGGTCTGTCTGTTAGTCCGCATATACAATTTCGCTTGACAATGCAAGAAACCACATAGATTTTAGAAAAAATCAAGAGTCAGCAACTGGACTTTTACTATGGACCAAATTTACATATTTACCCATATAAAGATAAATTATCAACCAATTTTCTTAAAATTTAATATTTGAATTCAAGGTCTTAAAGCAATGAACTCATAGATTTTTTAGGAATATCAGGACTATGACATTTTCATATACACGTGTTTTGTACACAATCTATGCGTATCCGAATATGTGCATTTATCGTAAATGCATTACGTTTCGAGAGAATCGACCATTGTCATTATTTATAACTAGGGTTGTCACTCTTGAAAATTTACGAAAATAGATCAAAAGTCTAAAATTTTCTAAATAAACTATTTATTTTTATGTGGCTGGCAATATTGAGTCAATCAGTCAAAAAATTTAAAATCAGTCTAAAAATCCTGAAAAGAACCAAAGAAACTAAAATAATTTATAAGCTGCAAGACCGGCCTGATTTGAGCAATATGTTTAAAAATAACAACTTCTCATAATTATTTTCTTATGTTCTTATGTTCTTTTATATAATTATTAATTTTGAAGCCCAGGAAGACTTTTAATGAAAATTCCTTTTGAATATCTCAAACGTTTATGCATAGCTTGAATATAGGTATATGTTTTTATTATTCTAATGCTTACGCAAACGAAATTAAATATGTAGTATTAATAATGACAACAAAAATAAAAAAAAAAATTAAAAATTATAAAAAATTATAGATATTACAAACAACCCTTTTTAAATTGAACATTATTTCCGGCTTGTAAATTTTTTTGTAAAATTTTAAGCAAGGACCTTTATACATACGTACTTACAATTACAAACATAGAATCTAATGATAAGAAATGTATCTTACGATATTTTTAAACGCTTAAGATATGTGTCATAACATTAGAATACTTTTTCAATTCTAACATCTATTCAATGTATATCTTAAATTATTTGACTTTATACGAGTACATGTATAAAATGCTTTATTCAAATGTGTATTTTATTATGTTTGTACGTGGGTATATGCTTTGATAATTCATTTTACGAACAAAAAAATAACAATTTCGTAAGTTATGTGTTTACTTTACACAGAATATACTCAGATAAAAGAGCGCGAAAATAAAAATTTAACCAAGCACGCGATCTTATTTTTACGTTTTCTTTTTATTTCTCATAGTATTATTAATGTTACCATGTTAAACAATTTTAGATTCGGTACAATTTATAATGTAGTAAAAATCAGGTAATAGGAAATTTTACTTAAAAAATGATTCTATGAATTTGGGCATATACTTGCGTATATATAAATATAATAGTTATAAATCTTGTAAAATGTTCTTTTTATAAAAAAAATAGATATATATATTTATAATGATTTTTTTTTTGAGGGGTTCGTTTATCGAGCGTTCTGCAGTAAGATATTTTCTTCAGTGGGTTCACTCTTGGCTCTTTTTTAAAATTTCATTTTTCATAAACTTTTGTTACGTCTAGGAGAGAAGGACTTATGTTGATAACTTGTTGTTGACTGTCTCTGGAAAACACTTTCATAACTTAAATATCTTGGCTCAGAGGACTTTAAATTTTCTCTCGGAATAGGCCACTGGTTGTAGGTTGCCAACGAAACCCCAGAGCGGATCATTTACAGCAGAAAATACAAGATAGCGGGCGGTGTACCTGTTATATTCGGTGGACGAAGCTTAATAGTTTTCCTCAAACCTAAATTCTTGAGTCTGATCTTGAACTAGAGTTGACAGAAATTTTACCTTAGAGAAAGCAAGTAAGACAACTATGCAAAGTTTTGTTTGTGTAAGAATGCCTGCGGGAGAAGACGGTGGCTTGCTATCCAAAGATCCCATGCGGCGAGCATTGCGCTCGATTGTCACACAATGCTAGTAAAAAGTTTCTTAAAAGGTCAGAAAATTAAATGCAATTTTTTCCTAATAATATTGTTGAATATCGAAATTTACTATTTAGAATTTCAAAGTAAAATATAAAAATCGAATATCTTTTGTGCAGAATAAGAATTTTATGCGTACATATTTTCCAATATTATTTTGTAATAAAGTTTCCTTAATTTATCTTTCAAAACCATTCTATCAAATGTCTACGTTTCGAATAAATTTCAATGAATTTGACAAATCATAAGTTTGAAATTTATAGTTACTACAAACTTGAAAATAAACTTAGAATCTGGTATCTTGGCTTGTTATTAATTCCATAAACAAAACCACACATACAAAAATTAATTACATACATACATAAATTATAATATTTACAAGTTGAACTGTCAAAGTGATAACAGTGAGAAGTATTTAAAAATATCATAAAATAAAAGAAAATCGCTTTTTAACATAGCCAAGGACATCCCCTACCCATTAAGTTGCAATAAATAATAACGAAAATTATAATAACAAAAAACAAAAAACAAAAAGCAAAAAAGTTGTAGGTGCGAGCAATTGATGAATGTGTGTGTATGTATGATTTATTTTTTATTTTATTTTTCTTTTTTTGTTTTAATTTTCGAATTTAGATAAATTTTTTGAAGCTTTTTTTTTCATTCAAAGATAATTTTCCTTTTCTACTGTCAACGTACAAGTACTTTCAGTTATAATAATTGTTAACCTATCAGTTAAGAAAAAAAAAAAATAAATAAAAAATAAAAATTGTGATTGCCGTTTGAATTTTTTGTTTTAAAACCTAATAACTATTAGGTATAAAAGTCAATCGAGTTCTTAACTTTCAACAGAAAACAGATCTGAACCAAATTTCGCAAATACATACAATATTAATATACAACATTAATAAATAAAGAAAAATTTTTTTAATTCGTTCTTTTCTTGTTATATAAGAATTAAAAAATTATAATAAAATTTTAAAATTAATTTTTTTTTTTTGGTTTTCAATTTTAATTTAAATAAATTACTTGTTTTGAGAACACGTGTTTAAATTACACTCATAAATTCAAAAATTTTAAAAGAGTCCGTATAAAATTTAAACTCAAAAACATAAGATTCGTAAAAAGAAATTTTTGAGTGAAATTTTTAAAAAAATGAGTGGAAAATTTAATTTTTTTACAATTATTATTTTAAATTTATTAGTAATTAATTTTGCAACGCCATCATCTAGATTGGATAATTCTTGTAATTGTGGTATGTATACTTAGTTATATTAAAATGTAAATTTCTTATATTTAATTTAAAAATCGTGAATTCCAAAAATTAGTGGCGATATTAAAAAAGTGTAATTAAAGAAATTTTATTTTAGATTTTAAATAATGTTATTAAGAAAATATAATTTTCCCTCAGACCAAATTATAATTTTTTAAAATATATTTGAAGCCTATTTCTTTTCCAAATATTTTCATATGTACTTAGATAAATATATTATATATTTGTTAATAATTATTAATAAATTGACTTAGATACCTAGATATTCTATAAAACATAATATGTACAAAAACATATGGGAATTTATTTAAAAAAAAAATTAATTGTTTATGTGACACAATTAAAAAATTAATTATTGTGTGACTCATTGCATTATTATGCAAAACACTCACTCAGTTATGGTGAAAATTTAAATATTTAATAGTCATTATATAATATAGTATAAATAATAAATTAATGAATTTAGAACAAAACTAATATAAATTACAAATTTATATTTGACGATAAATGAAGATAAGATATGAAAAATGTCTTATACTACATATGTACATATATTTATTTCTATTTTATTAATGCAATATAAAATTAATTAGATCAGATATTTTAATTTTTTATTTAATCTGCGTATATACGATTAAATAAGAGCGACGATATTATGAATTACACCTTTGCATGTACATATGTACATACATGTATCTACATATATTTGAAAAGAAAGTATGTACTTATAATTAATATTACTTAACTACATCTTCATACAAATTATATTTAGCAGAACAAATTGTTATAATATGCATATATACAAGTATGTATATGTAAATATTTTAAAATTTCATGATAAGTACAGTAATTAAATAAATTTAATTTCCCTTTTTGTTTTGTGTGTTGTATAATAAACCTGATGTTTAATTTCATAAAATTGAAGGAATAAAAATATTTTTATATACAATTGTGTACCTTCCCTAAGGGGGTGTTTAATAATGCACTATACAAAATCTTGTCATTGTATTCTTATCGAAATGCTACTCTACTCTGTGTTCAATACAGTGACACCTGTTGAACGACTTTAAAATTTCTCAATTTTATTTTGCGGGTGTTTTCTTTTTTTTTTTTTTTGTGGTTTTACTTTGAGTTAATTTTTATTATACTATTAAAGTCTTCTTTTAGCAGGGTCATTTCATTGATATATCCATTTAGCTATTCTGCAAAAGTAGAAGAATTGTTTAAAAAAAAAAAATTTTATTTTGTTTTTTTTTTCTTTTCATACAATAACGATCAGTTATAAAGGTTGCAGTGAATTTATGACAAAATTAACGTTTTTATTTTTATTATGTATGCATTAAAAACAAAAGAAAAAAATTGATCCATTAAAATTCGCAACAAAAATTATTGAAAATTTTAATAAATTATTTTTATATTTTAACAATTGCAGTAAGGTCAAGTAAATATGTATACCTAGTATTTTACGAGTATATACTTTGTATATTATGATTTTCGGATATTTTATGCACATATTTCAAAAATAATTCAATTCAAAAAGTAAATTTTTGTAAAGAAGAAATTTTTTTGCTTTTCATCATTGATATTTCAATTATATATATATATATATACATATGAGCATATATACCTATAGTTTTATGGAATTTATTTGTGGACATATTGCACACATAACAGTATATACAGTAACTAATCTTATTTGCTATGGGCTATTGTAAAACAAAAGTTAATATTCTAAAAGCCTTGAAAATATAAACACAATAATATTATTGTTTATGGATATTCCAAAAGAAATTTTAAAGGAAACTAATATAACAGTAAAAAAATAATTTCTAAATAACTAATTTAATAAATAAATAGATAATTTAAAATAAATATGCATGTATGTAAATATTTTAAAGTTATGGAAATTAATAAAATTTAACATGAAATATTAAGAAAGTAAATGCATGTACTTGTATTAAGAAATTTTTCATGATATTCGTACACCTTTTGTTTTTAGAAGTACGGTACAAAGTAATATAGTTAAAAATTATTGAGATGAAAAAAAAAAATTCAAAATAATTTTGTTTTCGCTTAAAATGAAGCGACTCTAATTCAAATATTGTTTATTTTAATTTTTTAAATACAAAATGTCATTTATTTTAAAATTGTCGCAAGGGTAACAAAAAATTGCGAGACGATCGTTAAAGATAATTAACTTTTCTTCTTATACATTATTATTTATTTCGCCTTTCTTAAGAGGTGTGTATAAGAAAACAATTTTCGAATTACAAATCGGATGGTAAAAAATAAAAATTAAAATATAATTGCAAAAACAATGTACATATGTATGTATGAATGTGTACATAAATGTTATACATACATACATTTATTTGAGATAAATATCTACAAAATTTTATGTAAAAAAAAAAAATAAAAATAAAATAAAAAATGTTAAAAAGTTTTATTATTAAAAGAGTAAAATACAAACCGATAATATTACGCAAGATTTATTCACATTTTATTCACATTTATACATACATACATATCCATACATATACATGCTTACACCACATTTCTCCTTTTCTGGAGAGTTTGTACATTTAATATAAGTGAATTTATTTTTTTTTTTTATTAAAAATCTGGTTGACATATAAAAACGAATCCATTTTTTTTTTTGTTTTTCATTTTATAACGATGGCTCACTTTGATACGAAAAATTATAATGATTTTTTTTCTTTTAAAAATATGTGCATTTAGATTATAACGGTATTGATAGAATAATAACCGAGTTTTTACGATATTGTGTACAATTGGTACAATTAAAATACAATAATTGTAATTTGCATTTGTCTCAAATTAAAAAAAAAAAAATCTTCAAATTAAATTTAAAAAGGGAAATTAATTTAATTCCGAAATAATATGACTCATATTTATTTCACTTGAAACACGTATATTTTACTTTAATATTTTAATACACACTCAATCGCATATAAATTTTTACCTTTTTAATATTCCTATAAATTCCAGAAATTTTAATTTGTGATAAAATTGTGAAAAAACTTCTTATTAATAATCTGATTCAGTACAGAGATTTCTCTTGCAGAGAGTATATTTTAAACTGTTTTCAATTAACTGTTAGAATCCATAATAAAAGCTAGTGTTGAGAATGTATTTAATGAACTAACAATACAAGATTTTCTTATTAGTTAAACAAATAAATGTGTTTAAAACAATTGTAAACTCATTTAGAGCAACATATGTTCTAATACAATATCATATAAAGAAATTAAGACAATAAATACATACTCCATGTAATTGCGATAACTTTAAGTGCACTAATTATTAAGAAATATGAGAATATTAAGTATGAAATGCATTTTACAACATTTGTTTTTAAGATTAGATCCAACGAAATTGAATTTTAAAAATATTTTCGAAATATACATGCATTCAAAATGAATTTTTATAACAAAATTTAATGAGTAACGCAAATACTTTCCATCTTAATAGGATTTCTTTTATTGAGGAAAAAAAGGTGTACAAAATAAATGAAAGTTCAATACACTTAGTTAACACTTTATTATACTATATAGTGTTAAACACACACCTATAACATTTCTTAATCATCTCGTAATAAAATTTTTGTTTTAATAACCATGAAAATGAACTTTCATAGTCAATAGTCAGTCTATTGCGATTTACCTTTTTCATAAAAAATAGAACTCAATAATTAAAAAATTTTTAAAAAATTTTGCGACATTATCGCATACATTTTTATTTTGTTCAATATACATATGTACCCACATATTGCTTTTGTTTTCTTTTCCTCTATTTAACCACAATAATAACGTGGTAGTGACGACGCTTTTTATCTATACGCAGATATATAACGCAGAGAAACAAAAAGAAAAAACGAAAAATAAAAGAAAGAATTGCCTAGTAAAATTATGTAACCATCCATGAACTTGTGCGTGCATTTTAAAATTAAAAAGCCGCTTATATCTGTCGCAATGTCAGTAGTCTCCTACTTAAAATATATAAAATTAAACAAAACAAAAATGAATACGATGATAAAAAAAAACATTTCATAGCAAAATTAAGCTATTTCATAGTATTAGTTTATAATCACAGATGATAAAGCTATATATACATTTAAATATATACAATTTGCTAGCGGTTTATATACATACATATATGCATGGTATATTTAATTTAGTCGACCTTGCACTTGACTTTGGTGCATAATCTTTCAATGCTTCTTATTTGAAATAAAGTTATTGTGTTAGTGGGAAAAAAAATAATAATGGAATAGTACAATTAATATTGTATATTGAAAAGAAAAATTGCATAATGATACTTACAATATTCGTTACAACAAAATTGACTCCTTCTTTACATTGTAAACTGTATTGATGTTGTAGAAAAATTTATTGCATTGATAATTTTTACATATAGCGTTGTAAAAGTAATTGAAAACCATTCATATACGTATTTATTTATTTAAAAAAACGAATTTTTTTAAACAATTTTGTCTTATTATATTTTATTTTTTATATATTTATATAGTTTGTGGAGTTCGAGGACGATCGAATCGTATTGTAGGCGGAAAAGAAGCTACACCTCATGATCAACCATGGTTAGCTGGTTTGTGGCGCCAAGGTAAATTATACTGTGGTGCTACGGTATTATCACGTAATTTTTTGATTACGGCTGCACATTGTGTTTATGGTTTCAATCATAAAGAAATACGGGTATATATTGGAGGTCATGAGATACGTAAAGATTATACTGAAGTCACTAAAATTAAAAATGTTTATGATCATGAAAAATTTGATGTTGTATCATTTAATAATGATATTGCTTTAATTGAACTTGAAAAACCATTGGAATTTGGTCCAAAAGTTCAACCGATATGCTTACCAAGTGCAAGTAAGTTAATAATAAAATTATATTTAAATTCTACAAAATAAAATTTTTATTTTATTATTAAGCTGATACTGATTATGCTGGAGTATTAACATCAGTTTCTGGTTGGGGACGTACTGGTGAAAAAGACAAAACATCAAAAGTACTTAATTCAGTTATAGTTCCAATTTGGTCACAAGAACAATGTAAAGAGGCTGGTTACGGAGCAAAAAGAATAACAGAGAATATGATGTGTGCTGGATATCATGATGGTGGAAGAGATGCATGCCAAGTATAAAATTTTTAAAAATTTACTTAAAATAGTTTTAATTTTGTTTTTTTTTTTTGTTTTTGAAAGGGTGATAGTGGTGGTTCAGCAATAGCAGAAGGTCCAAGTGGAAGTGCTGAAATTATTGGTGTTGTATCATGGGGACGTGGATGTGCAAGGCCTAATTTGCCTGGAATTTATACACGTGTTTCAAATTATATGGATTGGATTAATGACAAAATTTCCGATGAATGTTTATGTCAACCAAAACAATCAGCACGTACTGGTTTTTTCGATAGTTTTTTCAGTTATAATTATTATTAAAAACGTCAGGAGCCGGTATTAATATAACTTTTGAAAACGAAACTGCCTTAAAAACAAAATTTTGCCTCAGCACAATGCCAAATTATAAATTATAAATCTAGTCACATTATAAAATTAGTTTATTTTAGATAATATTGAAATGAGAATTTATATTTTAGGTTAATTTTTAAGAAAAAAAATTTAAATTATTGTTTTAAAAATATGTTGATAAAATTATATGGATTTTAATAATGTATAAATTAACTTTTTTGCAATTAGTCCTTTAGACTTGTATAAGTTAAAGAAATGAGTGCACCTAAATAAGTTTAAATAAATAAATTTATTTTTAATTAAAACTGATTTTTAGTTATTGGTAATTAACCTGTCCTTAACTTGAACATTTTTACTTTGTTAACTATTATTTTACATGTAGCCCGTCTTTTATAATGATGAAGCAGAGAAACATGCTCTTGATTTTGAAATAACCCATATTTTCCAATAAGTAGAAGAAAATCTTTAATAAATCTTTTTAGCAATATCCTTTTATTATATACTTTATTGCTGTAGAATATATGTGATATTAAACCATTCTTTGTCGAATTTTATGCTCTTTCATAATGTGTGCACTTTAATCTTATCATAAAATATAAAAGTACATAAATTCATTTAAAGCTCAATTAAGAAATTGTATGAAAAAATTGCATATGTTTAGGAGAGAGCAGTTATAATTATATTCGTTGACTGAAAATGTTGAGTATTTCAAAGAGAATAGGTATAGGTATTAACATGTACCTGAATATATATGTACATATATTTTGCGCTTTGTTAAATTATTTTGGAGTATTTGAAAGCTCAAGTTAATGATACAAATTAGGAATTAAAATAATTTATTGGAAATAAATTATTTGCCAGAGCTTATTTTTAAATTAATAGGCACTTATATTGTGGTGTGAAAGTTAAATTTTGGACAATCAAATATTTACAAAAGAAAGAAAAATTGCTATATTTTGAAATCATTAAATTTTATTTTAAAACAAAAATCTGAAATTAATATTATTTAGATTGAAAACTGCTTTTCTTTGAATTTTGAACACTTTCAATTTTTCTTAATTATTAAGGTAATTATTATTGTATGCGTTCATTTGAGAAATTTATTAGTTTAGTTGTTTTTTGTAAAAATTAAGCGAAATACGTTTTTTATTCTGCAATAAAAATAAATTTTTATTGACCTATAAAACTAGACCAAATAAAGTCTACAGAAGAAAGTGAATCTCATAACATTTTCTGCAAATTTAGGGGTTCAATGAACCAAAAATAACTTTGTATTTTTCACGTTATTACGTATGAACAAAATTATTCGTTCTTACATGGAAATATTTAAGTATTTTTTATTATATTAAACAAAAGTTTAAAAATATTTGAATAAAATAAAGTTTTGCCTCAGATATATCTCCAGAAATAATTATTTTTGCTTAAATTTTTAAACCCATCAATATGAGCTTATGGACTTCTCCATCAAATTTTCGAAAAACTTAAAGTGTTTATTTTAAGTGTTTCGTATTTTCAGAATTCGTTAAATTTTCATAATTTAAAGTATTGTTGGATCGATTTGACGTTAAAAACAGAAACGAATCACTCATTTAAGGCATCTACCCAAGTGAAACCGTGATGTGTAGTGATTGTATCAAAAAGGTTCTCATATACCCGTACATTTTAAGTTAAAAGATCTAAATGAGCTACGCGCCTACGCAACGTACTGCAATTCTCGATTTGGACAACGCGAAGACAAACATTTTTTTTCTGTTCTTTTTTAGTTGTTTTTTTTTTTAATGTCAAATTGATCAACTTTTAGTCAATTCAAATACAAATGTAAATTGCGGACTTAAAATTAAATAATATAAACTTCTTTTGGAACATAATTTGCAAAATTTTAGAAAAGCAACAAATTTTATACCCATATAAAATTACAAATTAAAACAAATTTTTGATAATAGATGTCGGATTAAATATAAACTCCAATATTTTTTGAGACGAAGTATGGTTAAAGCATAAGCAATAAAGCGTCAACTTATAAAATATAATCATAAACCTCAAATACGACCCGAATCGAATTAGCAAGGTTATATTTTTATAATTATATGTATGCTCCTTAGAGTTGAAAGCCCCCGTGCATGCAAAATCATATCTTATATATGTTTTCTTTATATCTGTAAAAAAGAAATTATGTATACATAAAAAAATTTTTAACAAATGCTTTGATTCTTAAAGAGTAGCTAATACGCTGTGCGTATTATACGAATACGTTGTATCTTACAAATTCAAATGTGTCGTAAAAATAAATTAAAAGCTTTTGTTTATACGAGTACAAAAAAAATTAAGCTATAAAATTTATTGTTCCTAAATTCATTTTCATCTTTTAAAAGATAATTTACAACTAATTTGTTAAACAAAATTCCATCATGTCCATTCAGAAACTTCTCTTCAATTATATTTTTAATTTTATTATAAATTTCTTAACCATTCTTTTGGTACTTAACTCGCGGAAATAAATGAAACAAAACAATGTAAAACATTCATTATCATATTTAAGTATAATGCAACGATTGATTAGGTTAAAGACATGACATACCTATTACATTGTGCAAATATGTGACACTTAAATAAACATCTTAACGTGTAAAACGTCTAATATATCTTCTTTAAAATATAAACAAAAAAAACTTCATATTATACATAGCATAAAAGGGTGATTCAAATTAAAAACCTTAGTCTTGTATTTTCAGGCTAATCAACTTTAAAAATATAGTTGATAAATTTGTTGATGAAACTTTTAATGTTAATTAAATTTATTAATTTATAATACAAGATTTTCACATCTAGTTGTGATAAAAATTGATTTGCTGTTTTGATGGTGTATTATTGATTTGCCTAAATGATAGTGTGTGTTAAGGCAATGATTACTGAATCACCATAAATTTTTGAGTCCCTTAATTTTATTTTCTAATAAATAAATCTGTGGCAACAAGTACAAATGACCTAGCTCTGTTACGACCATTTTCGGATAAATGCATCGGAAACTTTAAATTGAATTCTAAAGAAAAATTTTGAAATTATCTAAATTTTCGAATTTCATGTACACATAACTAGATACCATTTCGACTTATGCGATGTATAATTTAGAAATAACTTCGGTTATAATAATTGTAGAATAGCAAAATTTTTTGAGAATATAAAACGCGATATCGCTAATTTAATGGCATATATAACTCATTTTTGTCTTATGTCGAGTTAAGCGGTTTGTATTTGAGGACCCACAAAAATGAGTTTTAAGTAACAGAATTTAATCACTATAATTGATAAAATCGAGCGCCAAAAGGCCACGAATTCATCAATTAATCGATTTTGTTTCTATATCAATTGAATCGAACTTGTTCTTTAATTTACTACCCCGTGTAAATTATAGGTAAACACTAACAAATAATTTCTAATTTAAAAAAGTTTAAGCAAAAAAATTTAGGGCAACTAAAAAATTTAAAAAATTTTTCTTTTATGTGGATAGCCCAGCAAAATCCAATGAAAACAAAAAATCTTTAAAAATCATACCTTTATTATCACTAAAAAATACCAGTTTAAATTATTTTTTTTTTCCAAAATCATTAAAGAAAAAATTTGAGAAAAAAAACTTTCAGTCTCTCTACGAAAACCTGGTTACGAAATTACACACATATGTACATATGTATTTGTTCACATTTATGTATATATATATGATTAAGTTAATATTACATATGCTTCATATATACTTAAGTATATAATATCAAGTGTATACAAAATTTTAATATCACCATATTTTCGTTTTATTTTATTTTCCGCTTAAAGTTTTTCTTCCAACTTTAAAGTTTTAGTTATCCACATTCCATCAATATAAGCACACATTGGTAACGGTGATCTTTTATAATAGCTAGCTGGCCGTTAATGTCAATTTAAATAATCAGCTGAAATTTTTTTTGTTTTTTTTTTTTTTTTTATAATTTTAAGGTGTAGTGTAATTGTGTGTATATACAATGTATATATAAAAATAATTTTGAACTTTGTAAAAGAAAACAGGATTTTTTTTTGTTATTTATAGCATATGTGTACCTAAATTATTGCAATTTGAAATGAGAGTCTTAGATCAGAAGCATTACGACGGTCAAGGTCTGAGAAATTTCATCTGTAATAAATTGCAATTGTATGTATAGTTACAGGATAATATGGTTATCATTATTATATACAAACTTATGTACATACATACATACATAAATTATAAAAAGAATTTTAATTTTCTCTTAAATGAATTTTCAATTTTATAATTATAATAAATTAATTTAAAATGAATAATATCAAAAGTAAATATATAAAAAAATTATAAGTTTTTATTATTTTTGCTTATAAATTAGTTATATTGAAAATATAAAAAAGAAAGAGCAAAATTACAACAATATAAAAGAAGAAGAAAGTGAAAATTATGTCAATAGAGTGCGTTACCATCATCAAACCTATTGTGCTTTTTGATATACTTACATACTCACACATAATAATAAAATATATAGAGTGAAAGAGAAATTAAAAAATATAAAAATAAATGTATGTATATATGGATATAATGACAGTATAATATTAAATAGTTTGAGTTAAAAATCAAAATTTAATAAAAAACAAAAACAAAAAATATAAATAAAATAAAAATTGTAATTTTTGATATGCCAAATAGAAAAATTTAGTATGCCGAATACAAAATAATATTGAACCTGTTTGTAATTTAAATTTTAATTAAATTTTAAATTTGATAGACAGAACTTATATAAATTCTTCGAGTGTTTTATAATTCAAGTGATATGTGTAGTTTGACAATAAAAAAGATTGATTGGGAAAGAGAAAAATTTTAAAATATAAATTTTTAATTAATATCGTAACTTTATGGAAAAAAAATTTGATCGATCCGATAACTAAAAAAAAAATTTTATTATTTTAATGAATTGGCATATGAAATTTTGTAAATATTGTTGAAAGAAATCCAATAAGAAGATTTAAATTATGACCACTTACAAAATTTTGTAAAAATTATAATACAGTACATACAAACACATATATATATGGAAAAATTACGAGATTTTAACTTAAAACTTATATACTTGTGCATAGTTCATTGGGTGCAGTAATAAAATTTTAAGTACTTAGTTAATATCAATAAAATATTAAGTAAAACAAAAATGAATAAGTGAAAATTGAATGGCTATTTTGGAGTTGTAAAACCAAAATTAAGTTATATAAATTATACTTGTATTTAAAATTGTTTAATATAAAATAACGCACTTATATACGTATTATGTATATACAGTTCTAAACTGGAATGTCGTGTCCGCTTTCAAAAAATTAAACAAAAATTATGCGTTAGTACCTTTACATTTTTTATGTAACATAATAATGTATGTTTGTATATAAAATTTGTGCAAATTTCAAAACTTATATGTTTAACAATTTTGACATACGAGTATGAGTGTGTAATTTCATTAGTTTTATAAAATATGGAAATTGCAGTTGTATGTATGCGTATTTTTAAAGAATTTTTATTCATGTACGAAAATGATTTTAATTTTACTGAAAAGCTTCCGAAGACTATCGGTAATAACAATTATTTTGATAGAATATCGGTAATAACAATTATCTGCCCTTTATAATTATGTAACCTAGTTGTATGGAAATTCTGTGACAATAGTACATTAGTACCAAAATTTGTATGTTGAAACAATTCCGAGAGAGAATTTGACGCTACACCCTAAACACTTGGTTTATTTTTATATTAAAATAAAATAGTCGGAAAACGGTAAACGATTTCATATCGTAAAATTTAACGTTAATAATGTAAAACATACGTACAAATTATAAAAAACCGAAACTTAAATTTAATTTGAATTGATTTTACGTAATGTCGATTTTGAAAATTCAATACCCTGTATAACGTTGAAAAGAAAACATACCCAAAAATGAAAACAGAATAAAAGACAAATCGGATCAAAAACACCAAAATTTAAAATCAATTTTTGAAAACGCGATAATTTACAGGCAGTAATTTTTTTGTGAAAGTGATCTTTGTTGAACAAAAGAGATTTGTTTTTTTTTTTCATAATTTTGGATAATTTCTAAATCATTAAGTTAACGTAATGACAATATAATATGTATATGTATAATACATATATACATACACATATTATAGTTACTTTTGATAAATGCGAAATTAGTGAATGTTTTGCGTGTTTTTGTTTATTTAAAATGCTGCAAAAAATATACATTAATAAAAATAATTTCTTTTTTAACAATAACATTTATAATTATGATATTTAATGGACTGTATTCCTTCTTATTCTCTGTTCGTCAAGCCGAAATCAAGAAACTTAAAATTTGTTTTTGTAATTTATTATAATTATTATCTTTTAACATTTAACATTTTGCCGCAAATTCTTGCGCATGCAAGATTCGATTTTCATTTTCATACCCGTTAGTACGAAAACACTTTTTGCTTTCCAGCGGTTACTCTCCTTTATAAATTAAGTAATATATCAGTATACGTACTGCTATACAGTGAAACACCATTTACCTATAAGAAATAACTAATTGTTGCAGAAAAAAATTGGCGAATTTGGCCATATTAACGTAATTAAGTTAGCCATATTATTTTGGCATTAAAAGCTTAAATTTCAAAAAAAGTCCTGGATTTCAGAACAAGAATTATAGAGCTTTTTTAGACTTTATTAAGGGTACTAATAATGTCTTTATATCTAACAAGTCCCAATGCTCAGAGAGAAACTTGAAAGCACACCTTATTTTATATGGCCTTTTTTAAATCGAAGTGGCTATTTTTTGAGAAGAAATATTAAAATAAATTCACACTTATTATAAAGCAGGTAAAATTTAGAACATATATTTGAAAAATCAAAAAAATATATTAATATTTTCATTGATAATTATTTTAAAATTTAAAAAAAAGCGGAAAAACAACAAACACAACCTTCGCCTTCAACGTTTTATTTGTTACTGAAAGCATTTCATTATTTTTAAGTGAACAGCTTTTTTTTCTCATAGGGTAAGTTAACGCAAGATATGGGAAGTACCTGTGGTGTCAAGTTGAAAATATAATTAATGAAAGATAATTCTTAAATATTGATATAAACACATAGTAAAGAAAAAATTTGAAGAGGGAATTAGAAAATAATATCCAAAATACAATCAAATATTATTTGTTAAATACAAATTTTATATAAACTTCAAAATTTTACCTCTATTTTTATTTGAAAAAATATTAAAAACTTACTATCATTTATATCAATTACCTAAGAAAAAAAAATATTTAAAATGTTTGGAAAAAACAATCATATATTTTTATGACCGGATTTGAATATTTTTCTATTTTTGAAATAAATGGTATTTTACCAAATGACTCGAAAATTCCGACTGTAAAATAACAGGTATTTTAAAATTTTTGTTCAGGTATTTTAAAATTCTTTCCGTTTAGAATTAAGATAGGTCATACATACACATGCAGGGACATTTTATAAATAGATTGCTCTTGTTTACCTGCTAATAAAATATGAAAAAAGAGCACAGCAAAATTTTTGAAGCACTCAATATAACATGTTTGAAATATTTTTAAAATAATTATTTAAAAAAAAAATTATTGGAAGTAGGTACATACATATTTATTTTTAATAATTTAAAAACTAACTGAAATTATTTGAAACAATTTTATAAGTAACGTATGAATAATCGAAATGAGATAATTCAAATTGTTGAAATGTGTCAACCTATATTACTTTTAATAACATTTTTGTTAGCCGACACTACTCAACTTACCTTATTGGGAAATACAAAATGTGCATAAAAAATCATACATCCTTCCTCATTAACATTTGAAACCATACTGAAATATGAATTTGAAATTTTTTTTCATTTTTTCTTTCCTCCTACCTTTCTTTCTTTTTCGTGCAATAGAATTTAAATGGGAAGCTTATTAAAAAATGTGTATAATATCCTGAGATTTTTTAAAATATTAATCTCTTTTTTACGTAAAAAAAAAGAAAAAAATAATAAAAAATATGACACGATCAGTGGCATTTAAAGAAAAAACCAACAACGAGGCCAAAAATTCGTAACATTTCGTAAAAAAAATTGAGTATTGGGACTTGTTAGATATAAAGACATTAGTACTAACTATAATGGTAGAAAACTTTTTTCGAACCACTTTTTCTTACGGAGCGCTGACAGAATTATAGCCATTCCTAACGTTCTTCATATTTATTAACTTACTTGAATTTTTTTATATTTTTTTTTATAACATATTTTTATAATATCAACATTTTCCATTTAAATTATATACCAAATAGACATATCTATATATTTTTACCGTATAACCTTTGAAGTTTGTTGGGCATATAGTACCCTTGGATATTTACCAGAATATTTTGTATAAATAGATAACAGTAATATACAAGAAATTTATAATTTCGGTTGTCGGAACAAATTGACATATCCATTATCTGATCCAGTTACCAAAATTTTTACCGCACTTATCAATAATTACTTAAATATTTGCTTTATTTTCAGATGTGAAAAAAATCACCAATCAATTTTGGAGAAGGCGACATCGTATATTTTTAAAATTTATCAATAATTTATTTGGGATTTACTTTTAAAATTAATATGACTTCTTCAAAACTGCTTTAATCAACTATATTCTTTCTTTATTTTAAATTATCGTGTTGTGTTCAAAACTAGATTATGTTGGCTTATGGATGTATTTTAGAAATTATAATAAAAATTCCAAGAGTCTGCATTTTATGGAAGAAACTGAAAAAGAAATTTCAATTTATGATTCGGTAGTAAAAGTGTAACCCAAAAAAAACTAAAGCGATTCAATATTAATTTTAGTTAAATTATTTCAAAAAATTACCAAGCTTCTAATTTAACAAAAAAAAAACGAATATTACTAAACTTAAATATTTTTTAAAATTATTAAAATAATTATTATTTAACTTAAATATTTATTAAAATAATTTATTTCGAGAAAACTAATAAATTGTGATAAATTATAAAACATGTTTTACTATATAAAGAATTTGTTAAGAAAATTTAGAAATTTTGTTGTAATTTTAATTATTCTAAACTTAACGAATAACATTGTGCTATGCTGGAGCTCGGAGAATGATGTATATAGTGAAAGTGAAAATATTCTGAAAGAAATGAAAAATTTTCCACCAAATCGAACTGCAAGATTTCTATTTGATGCTCTATTTCGTATTGGAAGCGATTTAAATAGCATTTTGGATTATGATGATGCAGATCAAGATGTCGATTACGATATAAATAGTCACGTTAGAACATGTGATTGTGGTAAGGAAATATAAAGAAATTCAAAATTTATTTTTGATCAAAAAATTTAGTGAAAATAAAATATTTTAATTTAATTACAAACATTTCATTTATATATCATATAGAATGTGGTCATTCAAATGAAGAAATAAGAATTATAGGTGGTAGACCAACTGGTGTTAATCAATACCCATGGATGGCTCGGCTAGTTTATGATGGAAAATTTCATTGCGGTGGAACAGTTTTAACAAAAGGTAATTAAAATAAGAATTTTAATTGAATTAGTATATAGTGAACCGGATGAAATCGTATCAGCGTTTGTAACCACGAAAATATTTTCTCATTACTTTAATTATATAACACAGTTTTTAACATTTACCTATTTAATTTCCTATTGCATATTTCAATTTTGCAGATTATGTTCTAACAGCAGCACATTGTGTTAAACGATTGAGAAAATCAAAAATTCGTATTATATTTGGTGATCATGATCAACATGTTACTAATGAAACGCAAGCAATACAACGAGCTGTTACAAAAATTGTAAAACATAGAAAATTTGATCCGGAAACTTATAACAATGATATTGCACTTTTAAGATTAAGAAAATCACTGAATTTATCTAGAAATATTTTACCTATTTGTTTACCACGTTATAATTATGATCCCGCTGGTAATATTATATTTTTCATAAATCCATATATGAAGTTCTCTATAACTTGATTTCAAAATTGAATTTTTAAATAATTGTTTTAGGAAGAATTGGAACGGTCGTTGGTTGGGGTAGAACATCTGAAGGTGGTGAGCTTCCAGGTCTTGTAAGTCATGTTAAAGTGCCAATAATGACAATTACAGAATGTCGTAATCAAAAATATAAAAGTACTAGAATTACTTCAAGTATGGTATGTGCAGGAAAACCAAATATGGATTCATGTCAAGGTGACAGTGGTGGTCCTTTACTTTTATCAAGTGGTCTTAAATACCATATTGTTGGAATAGTATCGTGGGGTGTCGGCTGCGGGCGTGAAGGATATCCAGGTGTTTATACTCGCGTTAGTAAATTTGTTCCATGGATAAAAGCAAACTTAGATAGCACATGTCTTTGTACATAATTTCAATTATATACAAAAAATAAAATAGAAGTTGGAAAATAAAATCAAAATTATTTTTTTTTAAAAAAAGTATTAAAAACACTACTTAGCCAGTAATTTATGAAATTGATTTGCTATTGAAACTAAAAACACATACAAGCATATACGTATTTACAACGAATTTAAATTATTTGGGGCTATGTATTAAAAATTAAAAAAAAATTTTTTGCTATGGATTTGTTTTAGGATTGTTCTAAATTGCATTTTTCACAGCATTTTACATATTGTATAATATAAGTATATAAAGTTGAACTTCCATAACTCGATCTACTATAACATGACATTTTTGAGGGTTAAGGAAATTGACTCTAACACTAGATATTAGTAATTAGTAAACTAGTATTTGTAAATACTAAAGGGTGTAAGAGAATTTTAATGTTATTTTAAATTTTCAATTTTAAATAAAGCTATATGACTGAGTGACTAAGGTCTAGAGCGTGTAATATGTAAAGTTTTAGAGTTTTTTATTTCAATAACAGTTTTATTAAATAAATTATTAAAATACGTACAGGGCCTATGTATATTTTTCTTCCATTTCTTACCCGAATTCATAATAATATAACAATAACATAATTTTCTATATTGGTGAGAAATTTAGGAAATGAAAATGTAGTTTATGAATATAAAGAATACCAATAATGTTCTATTATATTGCAGCTACCAAATTATTTTTTTTATCGTTTCCATATTCGCATATTGCTAACATATTCTTGAAAATAATTAATTTTTTGGAACCATAATTAAGCCAATTAATAATACGATTGGTGCTCGTGATCGCCCGCTTGGCATAATTATAATAATTTCTACTTTTTTTTGTTACTCGTATAATATTGAACAATGTTGTATTAACAATAATAATCAAGACAATAGCATATTTATGGGAGAACAATATTTTTCTTGAGTTGATTAAATAAAAATTTTAGAATATTAAAATTGCATATGTTTCGGATCAAGATACTCTACTCATATATAAAAATTGCTACTAGCTAATGATATAACGTAACTAATTAAAAAAAAATTAGTAGTTTTATTATCCATTAAAATTGCATACTTTCAGGTAAATGATTTTTGTTGGTGAAAATAAATTTTCTATTTCTACGATTATTTCCGTTCAAATTATGCTGGTGTAATAAGAGTAATGAAAATTTATTTTTTTGTAAAATTTTTTTTTTAATTTTTTCCACTTCTCGATGTTCTTTTAAATCCAGCTTAAGGTTTCTTTATATTTTCTTTTCTATCCCTGCTACTGATTTTTATTTTAAATGTTAAAATTTTGTTGGCATGGATATTAATCTTAGATATTTGAGTAATAAGGAGCAAAATATAAAAGAATTATTTGTAAAATTAAAAATTTTTATTGTTAACTTAATAACTTAATTATTTTTATTTCAAAAATTCTTTGTTCATTTAAATTATTAAATTTAATTTAATTTTGTTTCTAATTTAATAAGAATTATTGGAATATAAAAATGGCGAAACTTTTTTATTTTTGCGTGAGTGTTACACTTTGTTAAACCTTATAATTTATTTATTAACTTTTTTTCTTTTATTTACTGTTATTAAATTAAGATTATAGAATTCGTGTCGTGTGGGCGATATTCAATTCTTTCACATCATATTCTTGTTTCTACTTTACTTTAAATTTTCTATTCTGATTCCGTTCTGCTAGCAGAACATTAAAGCATAATTCTGCATTTTTTGTATGATTGGTTTTACATTATACTGCAATGTTTTTGAAAAATAAAAATGAAAGAAAAGTAATGCAATTTTAACTAAAATATTTTTAATAAGGAACAGTGTTACAAACTGAAAAAATTTATTATTTAATTGTTTCTTTTTTGTTCGTATATATTTTTCTCTGTATGGCATTTCTTTTTAATTTTTATATTTTTTTAATTATTGTTTTATTAAGTAAAACAACTTAGTGGAAATAATAGAAAAGAATAATTGAGGAACATTTGGTGATAACAAAATTTCTATGGAACTTTATTTTTATACTGCTTCACAATATTCGATATGAAAATGTTTTGCAAAAATTTTATACCAATATGTATACAGTGTTAACGTTAAACAAGTTCTCTATCCAAAACTTAGAAAGATATTTTATCCCATACAGTTTATTTTAGTTCTTTCGGAGATAAAATAAACTCTGAATAATTTTTCATTTAAATCCCCACGTCTGAGAGCTGATAAAAATTTTAACTGTAAGTAATTATTTCCATATATCCTTACAAAAACTATTTTAACAACTAACGATTTTCGAAATACTAATTAACATAACGAGTTCATAATTTGCTATACGGGCCTCACTTTTATCAAATCCAACAGTTTAACGCAGTTTTTCTAAATAGCACATTAGATTAAAAAATTTGTAAATATATAATAATTAACAAATATACCATATTATTAAAAATAAAATTCTGCAATTCTGCTATAAGTAAAGCATAAACTACATTTGATATTCAGAAAAAAATTTAGACCAAATGTGCTTGTATAGTTTTATACGTAAAATTACAATGAATTTAATGAGAGTGTGTGGTATATGTGGGCATAAATCAGCAAATATTTGCATATTTACTACTCCAAATAGTGTTCTTATTTGTTGTTTTCCACCTAATTTAAACCAAAACAACGCTCATAAAACATTTTATACAGTAAAACCTATTTATAATCAACTAAAATTGTAGTTATAACGAAAACACAAAATATTGTCCATAATACGAGTACAAATATGGAAATTTATTTGTTAAACCTCTTAATCTTAGAAAAAATTGTGAAAAAGTGAAACTGAAAAAATGGCTATAAAACCAACAACAATAAATACAAAACTCACAATAAATTGCTTAAAAAATTTTACTGAACAAATATCTTACTGCAACTTTCTAAGAATTTTTGGGGATAGTTATTGAGCAAACATATTGAGAAACATGACTGTATTAAGCAAACATGTAAATATGTAATTATTATTATACATTTTTGCAAACATACAATATGTCTGTACATATATGTATTGTAAAATTTAAAAATATTAAAAGATAGAGAACGTGTGTTTATCATGTGGTTTAGTTAATTTGCAATAAACAAAAAGAAAATATAATTTTCTTCTAAACATCCATATTTTATAATCCACTTATGCACCATCTATGAAATAATAATTATAATACTTATGTGTATAATTGGTTATGAATTCAACATTAAATGCGTCCAGCTAGAAAACAACATTTTTAGTCTAATTAGCACAAAAATCTAACATAAACAATAATAAAAAAGTTAGGTGATTAAAGAGATTAATCTCAATATTAGAGTTAAAGAGAGGAAGCAAAAAAAGAAAGAAAAAAAAAAACAAACAAAAATTATAAATAAAAAGAAGAAAATTTTTAAATATGTATTATGTGGGGTTTTCCAATTAAAATAATTAAAATGTAAAAGAATCTGTTTCGACATTTCAAGTTCTTTTCATATGAATTTCAAAAAGTTTAGTAATAAAATGTGGCAAAATAAGTTCTAATTTAATTTCTATTAATTCTAATAATCTAATTCAAATCTCACAGATTTCAGTAATATATTTTATGTTACCGGTTATAAAATTGAATTCCCGACATTAACTGCAACTTGATATAGGCTATTTAATTCTTTTGTATTGAAAAGGGAGTATTTTTAGGCTATGCAAATAGTGCAAACTATTCTCCAAGCTATAAAATATTCAGTCATTAAAGCTTTCCTGCCGAATTAGTAATATTGCAAATAAATAGCCAATATCACAAAAATGTGGCAAATACTCGTAGTATTGTATGAAATTTTAATGACTAGCAAACTGATAGTATGCAAAAAAGTTTTTCTCTATTTTATTTTCTATATGTAAGAAAAGAAATAAAACAAAACTTTTTTAAAGAAATGTGCTGTCATAACAATTGCGTTATGCAATCGCAATACTCTTTAGTTCTCACAAATATTCCGATTGTCTGTATAAATTTACTTGCTCCTTTACATTGCATATGTAATTTTCAAATGAATATTGTTGGTAAGCAAACATTTTTTGTCAGGAAATAACACTTTTCCAATGAAGATCAATGGCAAGCAAATTTCTATTAGTGTTGTTATATACAATTACTATTTTGACAATTTGAATTGTTATGCGTGCATATGTGTACTATATGCTTTTCGGCAAAATAAATTGAGTGTTGGCGTGCAATATTTTATTTTTCTAATTAATTTTCTTATCATTTTTGCTACACATAATTCTATAATTATATTATAAAAGTTAAAACATATTTCAATAACAGTAAAATAATTAATATGCTAATAAATTGTAAATTATGCTGGTTAATCTTGAAATTCTCAATTTGTACATATATAGCTATGTTATAATACTAAAAAAAACTATGTTATAATACTAATTTTAAAATTGAGATTTTGAAATTATGTCAGAGACCTTAAAAATTTATTTTATATACAATTTGTCTTAACATTTTTAACAATATAAAAACATACACATTTAAACTATATGAGTTATTGAACTTATGAAGTTCAATTCTTTCTTTTGATTAACTTTTTAATTTTTGCATATCCAAGCACACTATTCCAAATATTACTGAAATTTTTAATTGAGACTTCTTTTCTAATCTGTGATTTTAGAATGTCATCATAATTCTTGATATTAGAAAATTTATAAAATAATAGTTATTGAACATTTTATACTTGACAAAGTGAAAACTTACTATACACAAACATGTACATTAATAAAATTAATATTTTCTACATATAACAAATTAAATTACACTTAAAATGAACTTTCACTCTTTTTAAATGGTCATTGAAAACACTGTAATGAATTTTTGTGATGCAAACCGCCCATTATAAAAAAAAATACTAAAGAATTTTTTTTCCAATCTCAGTTACAAAAGAGTTTCTTTGTGTTATTCTTTTTTATTTTATTTAACATTTCCAAAGTAAATCACCCATTTTTAGATTTTATTGTTATGTCATCTTTTAATATGTAATTCGCTGAAATTGACAAGTCATTCATATAAGAATAACCCAACTTGTCATTATTAAAGTGAGAGAAAAAAAAGTGTATAACGTATATACAAAAAGTATTTACAAAATAAATATGTATACAAAATCGGGCCGTAAAGTGCATACAATTTCATCAAGTGAGTACCAAGTTATTATGGTTTTGATAAATGTTGAGTAGCATAAAGAAAATTTTCAAAATAAAATTTTTCATTCCTTTTATGCTTTTATTTTTTCTATATATTTCAAGTTCTTATATATATATATAATGTAATGATTATTTTGATTATCATATATAGGACATTTAAATATACATGTAGTTACTTCAACCTATAAGAAATATAGTGTATACATATATAGCACTTATAAGTAGAAAATATCTAGGTATATAGAGTTATGTATAGCATTTATTTCGATTTATTCTACTTCAACATCTTCATTATGATAATCATCATCCATTCCTAGTATCATTATTATATGATTTGAAGTATTTACCTTCACTAATTGTGTATAAGCGTATATTCAGTTATGTGTTCTTAAATACTTATATAAGACTTATCCCATATATTGAACTTCATTATGCACATAAATATACATATATATATACTAGTGGATTATTATGCATATACGTACATAGACATTATATTAAAAGAAATGCAATTCTTAAAATTCTTTTGCATCACGACAATCACACCTGTTGGGAATAACATCTGGTTTTCTTATTTAATTTGTTTTTTTTTTTTTTGTTATTTATTTTCTCCTTATATTGGAATTTTATGTTTTTACCGCTTCTTATGAAAATGTGTATGTACATACCTAAGTGGTAATTTAAGTAAAAATTCTACTGTTATACATTAACATGTTTTTATTTATTTGATCAGGTTTTAACTTACTTACTTTCTGTTTATTTACTTTAAATAATGCATTTTGAAAAAGAATAATTTTCCAGTATTATTTAAAATCATAAAAAATTAATAATGAAAATGGAAAATATTATTTTATAAAAATTCAATATAATAAAATTTGAATGTTTCTTTAAGCAATGAAAAATTTCGGCGCTAAATAATTTTCAGTGCTTTGCCATAAAAAAATTATAAGTCATTCCTAAAAGCATTTTCAGAGAAGAAAACTTGATAGCACTGTCGGCCTTTTTAAGTAATATATTGATTGTTATGCGCACAAATTAAGCATTTCTCGGGTATGTATAAATTTTAGCAAAATCCTGAATTATTCTAAATTTTATACATACCCGAGAATTGTGCACAATTCTGAAATAAAGCAAATTTCTGAAGCTAACTTTGAACTAACAATACTTCTTTTTATAATGTATTTATTTGCTTTTAATAAGAAATTCAAAATGGACCTAGTCATAGATAGCTTTGAGATTTTATATTTATTAAATATTTGAAATGACGTTTGTAATGAAATTTCAATTATATACTACATAAATATGTATTTAAAAAAATTTTATGAAACTAAATCAAAATATGCATAGCGAATCTTAAACTTAGCAATTATGGAATTGAAGGATCAAAAGAAAAAGCTCTGAAAGGAAAATGGTTTATTTACAAGAATATTTAAATACAACTTCCTTAACATTTAAGACAACTTAACATTTCAATCTGTTAAAGAGGCACCTCGGTAAAAGAAAAATTCTAAATTATGTATTTAAATTTTTTGCATAGCCATCTTAATTCTCTAAGAACTCATAGTTCTATGAAAGTGAAACATGTTTAACTTCTTTAAAGTGCAACTAATTTAAGGAGCTGTAACTTTTAGTGTAAGTACATTTTTTTCTATAAAATAAATAAGTTGAATATTTTTAGGTTAACTTAATCGGAACTATATCATATTTATTTTACATTTAAGGCTATAAATCGGAAAATAGGGAAATGTCTCTATATATAGAATAAGAATTTTGGTTCCGTGAATTTCTCAATTTGCAATATTTAATGGCAGAAATTAATTTAAAAATTCACCATAAGTTTTTATTTACATGTAAATAATTTTAATAAAAATATAGCTAGATATAAATCATATTTCCACAATCGCACTAATTTTATAATTTTGAAATTACATACATTGTGTTTTTTAAAATTTGTATATTTAAATTTACAAATATACATCTAGCGATTATAAAATTTTTATACGAGTATCATGTACATAATATGTACATTATGGTATGCATACTTAGATCTCTACATATCTACAAACAAATGTTCCTGTGTTATTTTACCACACCTTGCATGCTTACAAAACTGTTCAAAACTATATGTAGAAAAGAATATTCTAAATATTAGATTCATAATTTAAGTAAATTGAATTATATTTTTATTTTCATAAAGAATATATTGTGGTAATTTAAATATTGCATTCCTTTTTCTTGCATAGAACCATTTTTTATTTTTGTTTTTCTCTTTTATTTAGATATAAGAACAAAAATAAACAAGATATTTCTCTTTCTTTTCGATTTTTGCTTTTTTACTTTTCCAACACACCTTTCTTTTGTTTGAATGCGAAATGCAAAAAAAAAAAAACGAAGAAAAATGCTAAATTTTAACTATTATACACGGTTTCTCTTTTAAGTCTTTTTCTTAATTTTTATACTCGTATGTATATCAATATTTTTCTACGAAACAATTTCCCGAAATAAATTCAGCAAAATTTTCAAATATAACATAATAAATATGTGTGTTGTATAAAAATTTACAAATACAAAAGCTTAATCATATATAAAAGAAATTGTTATACAGATTAGTAAAATAATTTATATAACAGTAGAAAACTACAGAGGAACACGAAAACTGAATACTTACAAAAAAATTAATTTACATCCATTAGTTGCATTTTTCATACATACTTTTTTCGTGGTCCCGCTTGTTGCTTGTATCAATATTCAATAAATCGAACATATTTGTAAAAAAGTTTTTAAAATTTACCAACATTTAAATTGAATCAACTTTAAAGTTTGGGTGCTTATTTTCAACATGACTAAGGAACAACAGAATTCTCTCTTCAAATGACAATTATAAAAGCTTTTTTCGCAAATAGTACGTCCAATTTTTACCCCAATTTTATAAAATATCTAGAAGTAATTAAAATTAATGTATTGACAGTTTATAATAAATATTTTTTAATGTAAGAAATTTGACAAATATATTTTTAATTAGATTTTTTTAATTATACCATATGTGATTCTGGTCTAAATAACATAACAATGTATTAATAATTTTACTAATATTCATTGACAAAATCCAAATGTTTGTTATGCCTACTCGTATTATGAGATTTTTTAGCAACGCTGTTATATTTTGTTATACTTTGTATTATATCTAATATTGAACGATAACGAAACCATAATATATGTTATACTTAGTATACCGACTGCATAATAGTGAATTTTATGTAATTTGGTGAATTCAACAGTAAAATGAATGATAAAATGGTGAAAAATTAAAAAGCGTATCGCACAAATCATTCGTACAAAAATTTTTTATTTTAAAATGATGAAAATTTATTATATTTCAATTCCATTCGTTATTCCGTCCATATATGTACTCGTATACTTCTATTTATTATGTACATATGTATAGAGAAATGTATAACAGTATAACGATAAAAGCAAATATGTTTAAAATTAGTTTTTAAGATTTTCTGTTTTGTATTTTCTTCTTTTTTTTTGTTTTTTGTTTTTAATAATTTGAATTTATTTTTAAAAATTTCAGCTCAAGATCAAGTCCATTCAGTTTCCTTTGAGATATCTAATGGTAAAGTTGTCGGCTTGTGGTTAAAAAAAAAAACAGAAAATAAATAATATTATTTTTTATTTTGTTTTGAAAATTTATACGGATTTTATCTTCGATTTCTTAAGTCTCTATCTTGAAGCAAAAAAAAAATTTATTCAGAAAGGCTTACATAGAAAAAAAAAGAAAAATTACCGTATTTCCTTTTAGTTATTAGCCGCGCTTTAACTGATAACAACGTTTTACCTTGAACTTGTACGTGTGCGGGAAAACCATAATATAATTGAATAATGGTAGTAAAGAGTAAATGAAAATTTAAGAAAAAAGTTTGTGAAGTAAAAAGATTTTTAATTTCTTTTCTGTTATATTTAATAAAAAATTCCAATTTTAAATTTATTGCTGAATTAAAATTTTAAAAAATTAAATTGCGATTTTTCTAAATTTTTCATATAAAAAATGTGAACATGGTAAAAATAATTTAGAAAAATTTTTATGCTCATATTTACAATAAGAGTTATTTTAGTGTTTGATTATTTGTGAAAATAAATAGAAATTTTTCAAAGAAAAAAAATAATATCCAACAAACAAAAAAAAAAAAGTAAAAAAAAAAATTAACAATATTTATACATTTAATATTTAAAATAAATATTTAGACTGCGAATATTGAAATTTTATTTGAATTTTATGAATATTTGGGTTTATCCTCAATTTTCGGATTCATTTGTGATTTAAGATATTTAATTTTTTTTTGTAAAACGGTGTTTAACATTATCACACTAAAATGAATATTTATTTACATATAATTTTTTTTATTCTATTTGGATTTCTTAGTCAATATTGTTTTGCTAATCCAAAAACTATTGTACCGGGAAAATATCGTGCCTATACACAAAATAAAGAATTAGAAAATAATAGTATAAATAAACCTGGAAAAATTTTTGGTGTCTTTAATCGTAATCGTAGTAATACACCACCAAGACATGATACACCAGCAAGTCCTTGTACCTGCAGTAAGTTTATATATAATAATTTTAATAAGTAATTATATGTACATTGAAAAAAAAATATTTATACATTAAAGTAAACAAAATGCTATACTTTTAAATATTTGTGCTGAATTTTGTTGAAAATTACAACAATTATTCATTGACAATTTACTCACGTACTATAAATTGAATTCTTCGAGTTATTTAGTGCAACACGAAATATAATGCCTCTCTTATGAAATGTACATATTTTTTTAAAAATATTTGAAATTTATTTAAAATGTGTAACGTATTTAACAAATACAACAACATATTTCAAGAATTTTCTACTTTTAATATATGTATATAACTACATATGAAAAGCTGTAATTATGGTAATTTCAATTCCATTTGTAAATTGTTTTCACAATATCAATATTTGATATTATTATCCGGTCTACAAAGAGTATGAACTTCGAACAAAGTTTTTTGAAAGTGCTCATTGAGGACTTTAAGATCAGGCATGACTTTAATTCATATTCCTTTTAGTTTCTGGAATGAAAAGTATTAAGAAAACAGAAAAAGTTTTGAATGCTTGCCACTTCAAAACTAGATGTAGTGGAAAATTAAGTCATGCTTTATGTTAAAGATCTTAGTAAGCACTTTCAAAAAAAACCTTTGCTCGAATTTTATGTCTTTCCTAAACAAAATGATAACAGCAAGTAAAAACTCTCTTTAAATCCTTGCATTTCCGAAACTATTGAGATTTTAATTCTTTAAATAATGATAAATAATATTGTACACATTACTGAAACACCCTGTACCTAATGCACAAAAAATGTAAATATCAAGTACATATAAAAAAGGATCCCAAATTCGAATTCGTCATCTTGAAAAAAAAATTTTTTTGATTGGGTCTCTTTATATTATGTCGAAATATATTACAGATCAGCAACAAGCCCAAAAAGTAAAATTTCAGCAGTGGATGAAACAAAATCATTGCCGGCATTCTTCTCCATTTTTCGTGTGGGATAGTCACTAAAAAGAAAAAAAAATGTCAGCTCATTTTAATTTATTTTGCAATTCAACCTAAATATAGGACCCTAATTGTTCCTTTTGCATATATAAATATTGTATGCTTGCATACTTATTTATAGTTATTTACTATGTATGTATATAGTTTTCAAAATACTTTCTAAGAATTTCAACATTTTATTTGCATCTAGTCAATCACTTCAAACAATATTTTGTATTCCAACAAAATATTTAATTAAGTATCTTTCTCCAAGAATATGCTAGTGAATATTTATATACATACATATATGTATGTATGTGCGCATGTATACGTATGTATATAAGTATAACGATATATTTCGTTCTGATTATGTCAATTAACTGTGAATATATTTAAATATCGTAATATCAATGAACTGCTCTAAAATTATAACATTATAGCATTAAAATAAATAAAAAAAAAATTTATACAGGTAAAATGTAAAGCATTTAAGTATATAAACTATAAAATTATAAAGTAATAATAATTAAATAAATATTTATATTTTATTTTGTACATACATACGTACAAATGTACCAATATAATATACAGTCATTTGGTATTCCAGTAATAAATTGGTCTAGTTTCCCATTTCAAGATATTTAATCATTTAATTTCCATACGCTATTGGTTCGGTCTAGTCAACATTCCTCACTACATTATTATAAAACGTTTTTATTTATTTTGTCTTATATTTTGACCGATAACATTTCACTATCATCCAAATATGGATTCATTGACCATGTTGTTATGGATTCTTTAAAAGGCTACTAAAGTAAAACAATATTATAAAAAAAAAAAACTGAAAAATGTCTTTTCAATAAACTTCGTTTTATTTCAAGAGAAAAAAAGGCAAAAATGTAAATCAATTTTTTATTTTGCAAAATAAATTTATTCAAAACGAGAATAAGAATAAAAAAAAATAAATTGGAATTGTGTATAAATGTTTCATTCAACTCGAGAATAAAAATTATTTAAATTTTAACATCTATCGTTTAATTCCGTCATAAAGGAGAATCGAAAGTATTCCTGATTACTATAAGTATATAACACGAATTTAAAATGAAAACAAATTTTTTGAAAATTATTTCATTTCTTAATCCAATTGTAAACTAAAATTATTAACAACAATTCACAAAATTCCTAACTATAATAATCTAAAAAATAATAATATTATTTTTAAAATTTAAAGTGTAATATTGCTGTAAATATTCGTATTTTTGGAAGGTTTTAGAATTGATTTGCGAACTGATTAAAATTTTTTGATGCACAATGATTATTTAACTTTTTAATTTTTTTATAACGTTCGGAAATAATGGTCTGAGACTCGATCTCTGCACTGAATACTGAGACGATTTAACTAAGTCGATGTATTTGACTACCTGCCAGTTGCTCCGTTCTAATGCTAACTCAGCAATTAATTGAGCTAATTTCGTCAAATTTTTAAAAAGGACTCGTACTAATTATAATGAGAAATTCGTTCTAAAAATACCTTCAAAATTTATTTGATCATATCTCAGATATATAGCACGTATATTAGAAACTATTGATATATATATGAAATTTTGCCCAAAATTATATACGTAGTAATAGAGCCTTTTTAAATGTAAGTACATATATATAAGTACATTTAATTTATATGTAAGTACATAGCTTCAAAAATAATTTCATATGTTCGGACTGAAATGGCATTACTTCGAATGCATTTTGGCGCAAACTACGTACATAAACATAACATAAAAGTAAAATGAAAATCATAATACCCATTTATAATATTTAACTGAAGTCTCTAAGAATTACTTTTAATCATAAATAAAATAACAACGGAAACAAACAAAAAACAAATAAATAAAAAAAAAAAATAAAAAAAAAAAATAAAATAAAAAGAGACACAAAAATTTTTATGTGCGGTGATTTTCGTTTTTTATTTCATTCGTAACACTAACATGAACGTGAGTTGAAAATTTTTCCTTGTTTTATTCATTGCAGGTACCATTGAAAACTCGTCCCTTTTGAACTTGGAAATTGTGACAAAAATTTCTTGCACAATTACTTACGTATGTTAGAAGAGAAAATCATAAAATTTGTAATTTTCTTTTGCTTTTATTTTCCTATTGGAATATAACAGTAAACAGTTATTACCCAGTTAAAATGTGTATTTGTTATTTCCTCAATAATGTTCTCTCTTATTTATTTTTCCTTCTTTATATGCAGTGGAAGGCATAAATATTTATGTATGTGATTAAAATAAAGTTACATGCAATATAGATTTTGTAAATCGATTAATTTTTTTTATTAATAAATTGTATGAGTAAATAAAATTGATTTTTAATTAAAATGCAATATGTTGGTTTTATTATTGTTCAGGAATTTCTACTTTTAGCGTGGATATATTCTTATACCCGTACGAACGTGTGCTCGAAGGGTATAGTAAATCTGCCTTACCGTTTGTAACGCTATGAAATAATATTTTGATCAGCGTCGAATTCTGAGTCGATTTAAACATGTCTGTTCATCTGTACGTCGGTCCGTCCCAACTATAACTCAAAAACTAATTGAGCTAAGCTCACCAAATTTTCACAAATGATTTATAGTAGTAAATTTCAGAACTCTATTTGAATTGAATGTGATCGAGGCAGTAATTCGAGTAACCGCCCTACCCGAATCGCAGAATCGTCTATATCGCAGAAACTATAATGTCAAAATTTCACAAAACGAAATAAATGACTAGGGATATTATATGTGATAAAAATCGTTGAAATCCTTCGACTCCTTTTGAGAGCTGCCATACAACTTCTAAGGCCACTAGGTTATAACTGGGAAAGTTTTGAAGATACGGTACATAATTTTTGGTAAAAATTGTTAAGATATCAACAGTGCTTCTGATAGTTGCCATACAACTTCTAACCTTATTTGGCTAGATATTAGAAATTATAGAACTTAGAGTATTGAAATTTTCAACAAGCAAAATATATCTTGTTAGGGCTTTTATATTTGATAAAACTGCTTGAAATTTCTTGACTTGTCGATGGTAACTGCCATACAACTTCGAAAGATATTTAATCGTGTATTATGGAAACTATTGAAATCGCAATGCTGAAACTTTGCATTAATGAATTAATCAGAATTATGTATGGAACACTGTGGCAAGCACACACAGCACTTAAAATTATTCGTTCGTTCGGGTATCACAAAGTTGACACGGTCAACTCTGCCTATTCTTGTTTGTAATAAAAGTATTAAAGGCTCCGGAATTCTTTAAGATAAATTGAGTGCATAAAACTTATTTTAAATAAATTTAAAAGTATTTGTTCGCATATATGTTAGTAGTAGATGTAAAATACCTCTAAGTATGTAGGTAAAATCAATTATTTAATTTTCGAATTTGAGTCATGAAAATATCAAAAATTGAAAATTTCAATTAAAATATGCTTCTGAATTGTATCGTTTGACTCAAAAGTTTATTAAACTGAAATTTTGATTCTCATTTGTAATATAAAAAATCTTTGAAGTTTCGTAAATATATTATGTAGTTTAACTGGGTCGAAAAAAGCAGAAAAGAAATAATTGCAGGAAAGAGAAGAGCGAGCAAACCGCATATTATGTAAATCATTCTAGAATTATGAAAATTATTCTAAAAGCTACATTAAAATACAATACAAATTGTAAAATAAAATGTAGAACTATTTTGGAGTTTTAAAAATTTCTTGTATGTAAGAATTTCTTTTCTATCAGTTGCAATTGCTTTACTTTTGTTTTAATCATTAATTATTCCAGAACTTTTTTACTTTTAGTTTATTTAATATTTGAAATTTTTATGTTTGAATTCAGCATATTGTTGCAAAAGGAAAGCTATTGTAAGCGCGATTGGTCTGCTGAAAAGAGAAATGTGCTAAGTACATTTCTCTCAAAAGAAGTTTTTCAAACAATATTGTACTCGTATGTCATTTGCGCGTTGATCGAGACAGTATACTTCGTTGATGCATTATATAGTTCGAGTGAAAACTCATTCGTGCGTCAGGTGCAATATATTTGATTTATATGGACGCAGGACTGTCATCTAAAACTAAATTAAATTTTTACCTTTAATTTGTTCCCCTGATAAATTTGTAAATTAGGATAACTCTGCTCTAGACAGGCGAATTTAGGACTGCCATTTTACTTTGCGAATTGCACGCAAAATATTATTTTACAACATGCTTAATACAAACACGTAATATTTAAATTTTTTGCTTCAAAAAATTCACTACATGAAAAAATCGCATACAAATTTTTTTAATAACTGTTTTATGTCCAAAAAAATTTTCCTTTTTACTATTCAATTTTACTTCGTAAATGAATAATATTGTTTGCACATAACATTCATACAAACGTTTATATACATACATATATTATTTTATATTACTATTGATATTATTAAAAATTTTACAGGGTGTGGAGAACGTAATGATGAGACACGTATCGTGGGTGGACAAGATGCTGGTGTCAATGAATTTCCATGGATGGCACGTCTAAGTTATTTCAATAGATTTTATTGCGGTGGTACATTAATTAACGATCGATATGTACTTACAGCGGCACATTGTGTTAAAGGGTAAATGCGTTTTTTTTTCAATATATGTAAAATAATAAATTAATTGAAATAATTGTGCATTATATTCATGCTTACATACATATATGGAAGTACAACATACCAAATATCTTTAAAAGTATACGAACAATTGTAATTTATTCAAAATAAGGAAAATAGTGGAATTATTTAGAGGCGCACAAAATGAATGTTTTATATTTATTTACTGTTTTTCTTATTGTGTTTATTGTGTATTTTATCATTTTAAATCTTTGTCATTGTTTTGAGTATATAAAATATGTATTTATGTAAAAATGGTGTACGTATATGGTAATAGATAAAAAATTCAAAAATAATTTTTAGCCAGAAAATTAAAAATGAAAGCACTTTCTTTTGTATTTTGTATCACTTTTTATTTCTGTTTATTTCCTTATATCCTATATATATGTATATATATATATATATATATATATATATATATATATATGAGTTTTGGTGTAGGTATTTAGATTTGACATTTTAATGAAATCTTATACATGAATTTTGTTACCTCATAATCTGGGTGGTTTTAATTTGCGATATGATTTATTAATTTTGTATGCAAATTTTTATTTTCCAACTTTCTTTCTTAGATTGCATAACTGTATTAATATTTTTACTATAAGTAATTAATATAATTGGTGGTAATTCTTTTTTTTATCTGTCGGTATATTTTCACAAAGATATTTTGAATATTACTTTTAAATGTATCAATATGATATATGAGATCAAATAAACATTATATTCAATACAATTTGCTTTATATACTTCAGTTGGAGCAAGTAAAAAGTACGAAATGCACATTTGGCAAATTATAGCATGATATATTAAAACTAAGATAAATTTAGATAAATTACATTGTAAATACTCGTATATTTATTATTCGTAAATTTGTCAAAAAATTTAAAAAAAAATGCCTATTAACAATAATTTCTCCAGTCGTCTGTTAATTTTTTTAAGTTTTTAAGTCAGTTTGTATAACCTATAGCTGTTGTGTTGAGGTAAAAAGTTGACATGTTTTATATAATTAAAAAAGGTTTAAATATGCCAAATCGCGAAACTGTAATTTTTTGAAAGTTTATTAATAGTTCGAAAGTACAGTTGAATTATTGAATTCCAAAGAAACTCACTAACTCTTTTTTTCTTTAGCCCATCTTCTAATTATCTGTGTATCTGTAATTGTGTACAAAATGTAACCGCACTGTGTAATTTTTCATTTTAAACAGTTTCTATATAAGAATATAAATTCTTTAACTCAAAAACCATTTTCAGACATAAGATGTGAATTATTTTTTTTAAAAACGTCTTTAGTTATTATTTTTATTCACAACATAATCAACTGCTATATTCTTAATGTAGATTGTAAAGAAGAGGTAACAATGCACCCCCTTGCGATTCACCCTCCTGATGAATTCGAGCAACTTTGAAGGGCCGGTAGACCGCAGCTCCGCCGGTGTGAGCACGTAGTTCGCAAAACCTCTCCTCTCGTGCGGGCGAGGGCCCCGCATTCCCTCAAAAGGTGCGCCGAGAACTCCTTGTCTTGCCCAAAACCTGCAAACATCTTCGGTTTTAAGGCCAAGCCTTCTAAGGTTAGCCCTAAAGGGACTATGCCCGTCAAGATCCCGTAAGAAATCTCACCCGATTCCCGCCGAGCCCCATTATTCTCCTAAACCGTTTCTGGTCGTAATTTCCCAGAAGCTCCTTAGCCTGTCGAAGTCCTGGAAGACACCCCCAGCGCTCCGAACGCCGCATCTCCATTTCTTTCCTTAATTCTCCGGCTCTGGCACAAGAAGAGGTGTGCTTGCCCCCTTTACGTCAACGCGTTCGCCGCCACGTTTCCTTCTACGCTCACATGTCCAGGCACCCAACACAGTGTGACTCGGTTGCACCTACCCAATTTCTTGAACTTCTCAAGACAGCCCCGTGCTACCGCAGAGAATACTGAGAAAGAGCTCAGTGCTCTGATAGCGGCCTGACTATCCGACATGATCAATATTTGTTGTCCGCGGTACAGTCTCTCAAGGTTGGACTGCACACATATGTCAATGGCATGCACCTGCGCCTGAAAGACGCCGGGATACGTCCCCATGGGTTCGAAAAATTTAGTTCTCGGCCCAAAAACGCCGCCCCCTTCCTCTCACAGATCTTTGATCCATCTGTGTACTACACGATGGTATGGGACCCGACCGGGTAGTCCGCAAAATTTTCAGTTCCTTCTATCGCTCAGCAATGAGGTGAAGTTTTTCTCGAAACTATATCTTCTAACTATATCATCCCAGAGAAGCGCGAGGGGCGGAGTCTGGCAGTGAGACGTTCCCGATCTCCTCCTCCGAGCACTCCTATCCCATTCTTCTCAAACCTTACAACGGTTGCCTTCGCCACCAAATTGACAACGAGATGCAGTGGGGTTAGTTCAAAAATCACCTCTATTCTTAATAGAAGCAAAATGTTCTCCCATAATACAATTATTTTAAATACACCTATAATACAAAATTATGTCTAAAAATACAACTTGCATAATTGCTTGTTATTTTTATTTAAATTCTTGTTATTTTATTTAAAATGCTGTGTTCTTCAAATAAAAAATCATATAGTGCTTCCATTAAACAAAAGACTTCAATGCCACCGATTGTTTTAAAACTTTAAAAATTTGAATTGTTATAGATTCTAGTAAAGTATTGAAAAATAACTTATTAATAATAAGAGAAACTTGAATTATTACTAAAAATCAATAAATGCTCTTAGACCATCTTGCATATAACGGTTAAATAGTTGTTCGAAACTATAATTTATTTTTCTACTTTTTTTTTTATAAATTATAACAAGTTTTTCAATATATTTTTCGTTTATTAAAATTAAAATTTACATACATAAATGTACTGAAATTAAATAGAATAAGTAGATTGTAATTAATTTTCTCTTCTATATTTCAGTAGCAACAACAATATTAAAAAAAAATACTTCAAAAGAAACATATGCACATATATACATATACATTAATAATGAAATTAAAAATCGCTTGAACTTAAAAATGTAAACTGTTATCTTGAAAAAGAAAAACTTTTAAACATTTAATTCAACTATCATCACGATATTGCATTTCGCGTATACCAATGATGGAATAATGGCAGTAATGATTTATACTTTATAAACTTTTTTTTCTTATATATACCAGTTAACAATTAATTAAAAGAAGAAAAAAAGCAAGCATAAAAATAGATCACATTTTATCACGAAAAAGCATTTAAAAAGTGAATTTTAAAGAATGTATACGAGTAGAAAGCCCTTATTTTAATAATGTACAAAAAATTTTCATTAAAAAATTTTTCATAAAATCCCTTTGTTTTAAGAAATTTAAAATTTCTCTCCATAGCTTATTCGATGCAATTATTTTTTTTTTTTTTTGAATCTGATGATCACTTTTGAAAAACAACAAAAAAAAAAAAATAAGAAATACCAAAATATATGAAAAAAAAAATGAAATGTAAATTAAATTTACTAAATTCTCACATCCGATCCGCATTGTAAATGATTCAGAGCACATGAACTGTGAGCTATATGCTATTATAATTGCCATATGATTTTTAATTTAATTTTAAATTTTTTACTTTCATTTTTGTTTAAAATTCATATTCTTTTGCTTTTTTCTTATTTTTTTAATTAAGAAATTATCACTATAGATTCAGTGTACATACAATTTTGAACAGTAAGCAAGTAAGAAGATGTTATACAATTATTTTTTTGCAATGCAAATTCAACAACAAAAAAAAAAAGCAAATTTTCACAAAAAATAATGCTTTTGATAGCGAAAGTGTGAATAGCTTAAAAAACAGAAATTTGTGTGGTAAATAAATAAAGTCAACTTTTCGGGATTAAAAACGTGTTAATACGAATGGAAATTGATTGAGAAGAAAATTAAAACAGACTTAACAAATATATGTATATATAAATATGTATAAATAATGAATAATATGTAGATTTATTAATTAAACTAATTGTGGTTACGCTATCAAAATATTTTTTGTTTTCTGTGTTTTTCTATAATATTTTGACAATTTAATTTGTAATTTTAATTATAAATTTTCTGTTATATTTTATACGAAAAAAATTCACAAAATTCAAATTAAATAAAAGTGAAATTACAGAAAAAAAATCCTGATTTAATTAAATGAAAGTTTTAAATTAATAATAATATTAACGAAATGAAACGAATTTACACATATTTATTAAGTATGTAATGTTCATGTAAAATAACAGAAAAAACAAATGTGCATGTTTTATGGTTTTTACATGATCGTATTAAAATTCAAATTAATTTTTATTACAAGTTTAATTAAATATTAAGATTACAACTTGTAGATTATGTTTCTTTCTTTAATTCATGCATTTAATTTGAAAGCAACAATAATTATCAAATACAAAATAAAGCATTTAAAATAACTCAATTTCACTAAAATATATTGGAATATTTTTCAATTGTATTCAATTGTACAAAAATGTAATTGTTTTAACAGTTTTTTCTTTTCCTTCAATGATTAATGGTAAGAAATTATGACAAAAAGTTCATTTTTTTTTAACCATATCTCAGTAGCTTATTTATTATGTACAGACACATTGTACATGCATGCTTACAGAATTTTAAATTGAGTTTATTTTAGTTTAAAAACAAAAAAGAAAAAAAAATTTTTGTTTTTGTTTTAAATCGAGTTCATAAGTGCACATGTATACATGAATACACGTAGGTTTTATGAATCAGTAGTATAGTATAATAATAATAAAAACAAAATGAGTTGCGTACACGAAATTATGGCATATGAACAGCAAATCGAATACCAATTGATAACATTTCCGAATATAAATTAGAATATGATCAGTTTTACTGAAATTAATTTAAATATTTATCTTTTTAAGTATATCTGTTATACATTTCAAATGTTATTTTATCTATTATTGACGTTAATTTGTAAGCATTTGTTAAAATAAAT